TATCCCGGCCAATAGAAAGTTAAAATGCTCTTGTTTTTATAGTGATCGTTGTACGTTCTTTATTACCTATTTAAGATTGACAAGCTTGATTATATCATATTTCATCGATCATTTTTTTAAGCACAATATGCTCTTATTAATGTATGAGATAGTCATGGTTTAGTGGTTTACTATCTAGATTTTAAACACAAAGGTAATAAATTCCTATATATATGACAATATAAAAAAACTTTGTGTATTTACAGTATCCAATACAATAATAATGAATATTTCGAAGTAACTTTTTATGGATAAAATTATCGATAACAAATAATTATTAATCGGAGTGTAGCAGTTAGCTTCAGTCAGCTTACCCACTGCCGGGTTATACACGTAATATCATTTATGTGTTCACCACGATGTAGACGGTAACCCTGACTGTCTCACCTGTTACAACAGTCATGAAGATAATCTTCATGACTTTTAAAATTATAAGTTTATTTTTAAAAATCTTTTTATATACTGTTAATTAAAGATAAATCTAATAACGTATAAATATTAAATAGTATATATTAAGCGTAGCCTCGCTTGCAATAAATCAAGAAATGTATCCCACGGGATTGTATCTATTTTTGCAAAAAGTGTGCTCCCGGCAACACTTCACGGATTTCAGCTTGATTAGTCTAATAGTTATTTGATTCGAGAAGAATTACAATATTTATTAGAATAGAATAGGAGTACTTAACAGATCCACATTTTGCATAATCAAGTAAAACAATTATTACTGATGTAAAAAGAGTACTAAAAATATTGTTTTATTGTTAAATCAAACATATTTGTAGGAAGAAAATATAAATATGAAAATACCTATTTATAATGTCTGTCTAATATATTATATTGTAAATAGTTACTTAATAATTAAAAGTAAACTTTTATTGCAGAGTGTATTAAAATGTAATTTAGTCGCCAATGAAGAAAGGTTTTTTTCTTTTTAATTTTGTGATAATAATATTACAGTCTGTTAAATAATAACTTCCATATAAATTTCCATAGTTGTAACACAGACAACATAATACTACGTAGAGCAGCAGTTTAGCACTTATTCTACAGAAATTATCAAAATTATTTCCAATGTAATATTTTTTTTTAATAATTAATAATTTTTAATAAGATTTTACTCTAGTTATTATACAAATTGTTTAGTATTTAATTATAATTAAATATTTAGTTAAAATAAAATTAATTTGGGTAAATATATTTAGTCGTCCAAAAAATTCTGTTAAGAAATAGAAAATTATAGTAGCATTACGTGGTATTCCAACTAATTTATATTGAACGTTTTTTGTTATGCTTAGATAATAATGAGGACCCATTCTTGTACAGTTCGTCTACAAACGCCTGGTAGTTGTAACAAGACACTAACACAATAGATTAAGTAAAAAAATGTTAAGAAGAAAAAAGGAAATGTAAAACGATCTCTATTCAAAATCAAATTAGCACATTATTTTGTAAGTGACTTAACAACTCTTCTAAATATATATGTATGTTACTGAAGTATGCCTAAGTTTAAACGTAACGATTTAGAGGGAGAGGCATCCTAATAAGATTCACAACATCTTTCAAAATACTTGTTACCAAATATTTATTTAAAACCTTATATTTATAAGAACAGGGGTGTTTTCAGTTTATATTTACATAGCACAAAACGCTAATATATTAAAATACTGGTATCTGCATGGACTTGGCCTGTACGAGGGGTCAAGGAGAATGCGAGGAACTCATGCGCATCTTCACGGCGTAGTTAGTACATTGATTTCTTTGTATTTACATTAAAGCTTTATTGTATTCTAACGACCCGCCCCAGCTTCGCACGAGTGCAATTATAGTAGGGAACTATAGTTTTCATGAAAATAAATTACAAGCAATATATTCAATATTAATGTAAATTTCTACGAAGATAAATGAATTTATAAAATCGCATTAGCGTTTTGAGTTTTTTGTTATTACCATTTTTTATCTGTAATAAAAATCCGATATGTCCCCTTTTTAAATTTAATTAAGAAAGGCTAGTTAGAAATTTTCTTTCATTATTTCGAAACAATTCGCGGAAATTGAATGATCGATTAATTTCTGATTAAAATTTGTGTATAAGATTATTTTTTTATACAATTAATCTCATATTTCATTGTATTTATACATTATAATATATTCATTTTTTCATATAAATGTAAACTTTACCGAATAATATACGCTATATTACTAGAGTTGTAGGATTTCAATTTCGAAATTACATACTATTTCAATTCGAAGTCGAATTGTAGTAATCTCAACCACTTCAACGAGGCGTAATACAATCTACCGAGGGGTAACACAAGCAGAAACATTACAATAATTAAAATCTATTTTGCATGCTTCTCATTGTAGGAGTTTATTTTGTTTTAATAACTTGTATCCTGTACTGAGCGTCGACACGTTCACATCTATAAATAAAACCTGATTTCAAACTAGTCTTAGAACGCTAGTGAACTTAGTGTGCCTTAACAAACTATATCAGAAATATACATATTTTACAATTTGATGCATATTTCAATATGGATATAATTTATTTGTATTATTAGAGCACTGTTTATCCTAAATAAATCCTAACCCAAATTTTAGTTAATTTAGACAAGTTGTCATCTAAAATTTGGGTTAGTATTTATTGTGTTTTTTTGATGTCTTTATGTGTGTTGTGTGTCTTCAGTGATTTACACTATTTAATTATTTAAATCACTGTTTTGCAATATGTTAAGTATGTTGCACATTGTCCAAGCAGAACCCTCGTCTAATGCTGCTAGGTTGGTGTAAGGTTTGATTTCTAGTAAATTTTAATAATATAGTAGTAAGTAAAATAACCAGATAATATGTGTAATGTAATGTTTAAATTTCGCTTAACAAAATATGCTAGAATTATATTTATGCTGTAATTAAAAAGATTCCTCATATCGAAGTATAAATCATGTGCAGTTATATTTAACGTAATTATTCAAGATGTACGATTAAAAAATAACGGAAATCAAATAAAAATACGCAAATCCTTAAGAACAATGCAAGTTCATTGTTAGGCGCAGCTACGTATTGAAATCTAAGTTCCCACAGCTTTAAATGCGTTACTTTCAATATAATTGTTAGGGTTCCCGACTAAAAAGAAAAAACAAAACCCTTTCTTTTTATATTTTTTTTGCATATCCATCCGTTAGCTTTAGAATATTGTATTTTGAAATCGTTACCTAAAGCTACGACAGCTTTAGATAACGATTTCAAAATACGAGACGAGTTGGTTTTGAATACAGAATAAAATAAAAATATATATGATAGACAAAAGTATAATAAATACCTATAGATAAATGTATTGTAAATAAGAGATGGAGATAAACTGTATTGTATGATAAAGCACTGACAGAAAGATAATATTTTAGAAATTTTACATTCGAACAGCAAATCCATTCATATACTATGATTGTAATTATGCTGATTTTTTAAACTATTAAACTCGTATTTTCTATGGAACAAAAACTAATATGCGCTTGGTATCTCACGCAAACGCATATACTCGTATGTATGAGAAGTTAAAGCCGACTACTCCGTAATAGTGATAATAATGACGGTAATCATTTTTCCATCGGCGCATCAATACAAGGACTTGTGTATGCGCAACGCAGACTAGACACGGCGGATAAAAGGAGTAGATTGTGTCGCCATAATTTAGTAATTGAGGGCCTTTGATGTATTAGCTACAACCTTCAATGTGCGACGATAAAGAACATCTTGTTCTAACTTCATCCGTTTTCAGTACATTCATTATTTAAAATAATGTATCCGGTAGTAGTACTAGTATATTTATTAGATATATATTTTAATTACTTGTATACATATTCATACGTAATATTACATATATAGATGAAGACATTTATAGTCTACCATTTTATTACTAATAATAACCAGCTTTATTTGTATGTAAAGATATACTACCTAAATCAAAAAACCTTTCAAGATTATGAAGTTTCAATTGAAAGTTCGTTTATTGTGAATAGATTTTTCCCTTTATTCATAATGTCGAAGTATCAATAAACCAAAATCTATTAGTGTTTTTTTCAAATTAAGAAAAAACTCAGGGATTGAACGGCTCAATAAATTCATATACTTCATTAGAGGATTAAGGTTTTTACAAATGAAAGGGAATGGCTATAGCTTATGTATATTAATCAACCCGAACTGAATACTAGTCTTAAATACAAATAAAGGTGATTGAACTTGTCCAATATTGTACCAGCAAAATATTGTCCAATATCCTCCGTAGCGTAGGCGTAGGCGCTAAAGTGAGCACAGAAATGACACAAACAAAACTAAATTAAATATCTTTAGGTTTGTGGAGCAGATCATCTTTCAGGATTTAGACCATAGGTATTTTATGTAAACATAAAATGAAATATTGATAAAGAAATATTCGAAAAGGATTCAGGAAAACACAAAATGAAATATCATAGGTTTAATATTTCTAAACTATAATATGATGATGATATCAAGTCAAGATCAAGTTTGTAAGTTATGATAGTAAAATTGACAATTTTTCTTTGTATAATATAAAGCATACCCATTCATCGATTTCGTTTAAAAGTGCAGAAGATCATATGATCAACAAAAGAGTTCATCTCAAATGTATTTCTGTACAAATATATTTTTGTTTATTCTTATAGAGCAACAACTTAACTTTTATCATAGTAGAGTAGTAGATTATACAATTTAAATGCTATTCTTCATATGTAGTGTATAAATAAACTCAAATGTTTTATAGAATTAGTCACTGATCTGACTAATTCTATACTTCAGATCACTTGGCATTTCGTTTATGTACTCCAGCGATACAGGTGATTCGGGACCTGTATCGCGGGATTCAATGTATAACCAAATAAATAAATAAAATTAATTCATACAGTATTTAACAATATTATGAAATACGAATATATAATGATAAAGCATACCTGAGTAGATCAGCTAATGTCACTGTCTTCAACTATTTCATTTAATAATGTTCAAGAATTGACACGAAACTGAACAATGTCCCAAGTTTACAAACGCGCGAGCACTGATCCCTAACCGATTAAACGACAACTTGGCGGGCTTACACCGACACGAATGCTCGAACACCTTAAGGCTGTAGGCACACCGACGCAACCGTATTGGCGTCTTAAACAGAATGAAATGGTGAAGAAGACGCCGCGGTCTTATATAGACGTGACCGTAACCTGACGCCGGATAACGGACTCGCGCCGGCGCAGGTGAGAAACAGCATTAGACCATAATACCAACACGTAAAATACACAATCCTACTTTCTTAAATTCTATTCTCCCAGTCACAGAAAGATAGAATTTTCAATAAAGCGCCCGGAGCTGAACGCTGTAATTTACCAAGTTAGTAATAGTAAGGTGCTCTGGAACGCAAAAGGACAACAGAATAAAAAGATACTAATGTAATTAACATGATAATACTACAATCGTAAAGTTTGCCTTTCAACAGAAACTTAGAACTTATAAATAAAGATGATACTCACAAATAAAATTACTACACTTTAAACATATTCACTTTATAGTAGATAGAGCTATACGAATATATGCTATTTTAATTAATATTCACGCCATGAAAACTTTATCCATAAGCTCTATACAGTCATAACATTTGTAAAAAAATTACACAGAAGAGTGTGAAGAAACCATTAATTTGACGAAAGAAAGAAAAATATTATTGCCAATCATCAATAATGGACGATGTATCGTATCATATAGGTGCCTATTAAAATCGTTATGTATATTGGATTTATGAATGTAATAGTAAATGTTGTAGGTACATATACATACGTTTCATTCATTAATTCCTTTATTTCATTAATGAATGACTTATTTTGCATACGAATGGTGTAGAATACTGTCTGCGACGCTTCTTTGCTACGCTCGCTAATGATTTTCGCACATATGCGTGTACATACTTGACATGTGAACGAGAAAATTTAATGAATGCGGAACAGACATGAGCATTATGTGGGAAAATATTTGCTTTCTTTCTGTATTAAAGCTGTTGAATTATTAACTAATATTCATATTAACTAAATGAGTGCTCCATTTATCAAAATTTTATAAATTCAAAGATATATTTATTTAATTAGTAAACAAGCTTTAATACCTTTCCACTTACATATTGCACTAGCTGGTCTATAATATTGGAAATCATTATAGAAGTTACATTGTACGTAGGTACTATAGAATACAATAGTTTAGAAATAATTTACAGCACTTTAGAATAATGTACCTACTATCTTTTTTTTAAATATCACTCATTCGAAAAGCATTTTTAGTAAATTTATCTATTGTTCTTTTAAACAAATGTCAAATACCTTTACAGTAAGAAAAACAGATCTAATATTTATTTAGAAGATTTTGTGTTATACTGACATGTAAGTGATGTTAAATGTAATTATGACATTATAAATTAAATTGATAATAGAAATTAATCTACAATCGTTTTCTACATAAGTTTCATAGTAATAAAAAGCAATCTGATGCCATTTTTTCTTATAGATAAGCAAACAACAATTAGTAACGGATATTTTTTACAACCACTTTCCAGAGTACAGCTATATCAGAAGCTATACAATCAGTAATGGTATAGTTTTGCCAAACTCTCAATCAACGAATATTGGCATGGACCGCATAAAGCAACTGATATGTGAAATGGCGGCTTCGGCTAATAAAATGCTAGTTTCTTTTCACGCCTTATTATCAATGAATGGCTTCTACATAACAATAAAAGCAAATGCAAAAGTACAAAGCGGCATTTTTAATCTCACTTCCTGCGGTTTCCCAAAGGAGAATTTAAGGCCAGCTAGACTTTGATTCAAGAGTGAAAGTTAATGTTGATTCGCATTGGTACTCATTATCTGCGCGATGAAAATCTTAAATTACACTGCACACGGCATGTCTCGATCTATTTTTATTTGTGTAAGATTCAATTACTGCGTACCGACTTATGTGTAACGCCAAAGGCCGTGGAACTAAATAACAGCGTACATTTATGCAACTTGATGAATGTTCGCTCTCCACTATGAAAGAAAATAATTTGCGAAGATGTACTTACTGGTTTAAGTACCACGATAATTGTTATGCTAAATACACGTACATGGCATTTGATAGACCGTATTAGCGTAAACAGAGATGAAAGCTTGCGATATCAGTACAATTTATTTTCTATTCTTGATTAAATTAAGTTAGATGAGTAATTTACTTTAATTATATTAAGTATAACTTTTTTTTTATTTACATTTCAGACCATACCACTTAAAATTTTTGCATACATCGTAAATTTACGATTAATATAACCAAATGTCCAATAAAGATTATCGGCAATTAATAATCTCTAAGTGCATTTAGCAATTAAGACTGCGTTTCATGTAGTACTCGTGTCGTAATGGATAAAGTACCTATCCACTAGTAACATTAACACAATAACCCACATTAAGCGTATAAAATTTATCCGGAATATGACTTTCATGACACTACGCAAAAACGAATAATGCTCATAATGTGACATACCTATCCGACTGCTCGAAGTCATTTCAATCCAATCTAATTTTTTCCGTTACAGTTTGCGGTGTGTATGTTCACTAATTATAGCGGATGTACAACATTTATATACAGTTTTTCGTAATTTCATAATTAATAGAAACAAAATTCTTATTATCTTCATATCCATTAGAATAGAATAGAATAGAAAATCATTTATTCAAATAAAATTAATTTAAGCACTTTTGAATAGTCAACATTTTTTTTTAATCTACCTGTTATTCGGAAAGCTGTCTGATCAGAAGATGAATAAGCAAGAATCTTGTGTATTGGTCTTTTAAACAATCCTTGTAAGTTCACATTTTACAAGTCAAAACAAACTACCAACCAGCACTAAATTCATTTAGGATCAAATATAAAAACACAATAAGATTAAATAAGTCGTAGTGATAAGAGCAGACCAGTCCCACTCACAAGCACATTCAGCACTCGTTCACGAGTATGACGGATGAGCCAGCCATCACTGCGCTCGACCATATTTTAGGGAGCCCAATGACCCGGCCCACCACGCCGCCACATGTCTGGACATTTTAGTGAGCATTCCACTCGACCTCGTCATAGCTACTTATTTAAATTTATTATATGGTAATTACAGTATTCGCACTTTACATAAGGATGCATGCGGCAATCATTACAAAATCCGCTACGCTATCATATTTCAAGAAAGCAGTATGAACAAGAAATTATAACGTTGTCCGCTAAAAAAATTATTCTAGCTAGATATTTCTGTCTATGAATTTATCTATCCTATAATAGGCTTTTTTACATAACATTTGTTTAATATAAATTTTAAATTGCCTCTCTGTCAGATTTTGCGTAGATTGTGGCAGTTTATTGTAAAATCTTACGCAATTACCATATAATGAATTACTAACTTTGTGTAGACAGCATTTAGGTAAAATTAGCTTATTATTAAACATTAAACAATTGAGTAGAATCTATAAATAGAAGGTATAAAGGAAAGTTGCAGTTTTCATTGATTTCTTTTTCGTCGTCATCGCTTGTTTCTTCTGAACAGTTTGAATCAGTTTTCACTATCATTTCAGATTCATATGCATAGGCAAATCATGATGTCCGTCACATATGCCTACTATCCTTATTTTGCAATAAGATTGGACTAATAATGAGTATCATTTAAGAACTCGGTTTTTAAATTATTGAAGCTAACTTACTTCGAGAAATAAAATATATAAAATCTTTTGATATATATCGCGGATGGATTTAGAATGTGGGATCATAAAAGTATACTTATTTTTAAATTGTTCTCAATAAATAAATACAGGTAAGTGTCTGTACTAGATCAGTTTCTGTTATGTCATAATATAGGAACGTTAAGGTATCGGGTAAAACGTTATGTTTACAAATCTTGGCGCCCACATCCTCTTAAAAATTTCACTTCGTTTTCGCACCTTTAGTTTGATGGTGATTATGTAGATGTTTTGCACGAACTCTGGCATACTACTGTTGAATAGATCTGGGTCGCTCGTCCAAACATTGGTACAAGCACTTTTACTTGGTCGAGATTTCAACGATTATTATATTCACATTAGGCTTTGCTTCCATACAACTCACACAAAAATAATTACAATTAATTTCGTGTAACGTTTAAAATAATTATCAACACAAACCGTGTAATAAATACATCATATGTCTGACCTTGTTCTTTACAAATATACGTACATTGGTACTTTTCAATTATAATTCCATGATGCACATGAAGCTTTTCTTTTCGTGAATTCGATATCAAGAAGAGATTCGTGTTTCATGCATCATTAAATCGCGTATACTACACTACGTATGTGAAACTATACAACTATCTGATTTGTAATGGGTGTTTAGATTTATTAAAGATGACAAGTGCATTTGGCTGCAACGAGATAGTCGCAGTCGCAGTATCCGGTGTGTGCGTTGCTTGCGCGTGCGCAGGCTAATCGTCTCGTAACGGTTGCAAACTGTAAAGCCCGCCACGGACCGCGGCCCGCGTGCTAAATTTGCCGAAACACCGCGATCTCTAGCGGGAAAATCTTAAATCACTCTAATTCGTGTCGATGCCCGCCCATAACTGAAAAAAGTCAATTATACAAAAAAAAATACCGATCGCAGCAAGAAATGCCCATCTTTGGTATCTGTAGAAAAATAAAGTTTTTTATAGGTGCAACGCAATCTATGCTATTTTATGAGATACTATGAAAAAGAGCATAATTGTAGTCTTCAAAATACACATTTTTTAAAGAAATTTTAAACATGTATAGATGAATATTGTAAATGTTGCTATTAAAAAATTAAGTACATATTGAAACCTACAATAATTTTGTTATATGTACAGTCTAGACGGTCTACTCTAGAAACTATTCCTGATCCTGATAACATTGAACAGCGCCAACATATTTCGTGTCCTTTAGTAGAACTAACTATTGTTACTTATTTATTCTATTTAATTTAATTCTATTTGAAACGAACATTACAAAAATGGTCTCAATTCAAATAGTAGACCTGTAGTAAGTAGACATAATTAAACATTCTCATTCTAGTAATTTACTTTTGTTTTATTTTAAACAAAAATATAGGTACCAAAAGCAATATCTTGTTATACGAAACTAAAAATCTAGGGAAGTATAAGAAATATTACAGTAACGTAGTACTACTAAAAATGTTTACAAATTTATTGCTCGCGGCCTGTACTCACCTAACTATTGTACACGACAATATTCGCTCCATGTCAAAGGTTAAGTATTTACTTTCTACTGGTATTGTTGCTTGCTTTAGTGCTTGCCTAAGTTTTTACTGACGCAATTTAAGTAAATGTGATAAATGACAAATTGTATACTTTAAACGAAGTAACTTGAAAGCTAATTTTAATAACGTTAATCTTCTAAAATAATATTATAAAAGTCGAAGGTTATGAATGTACTCAAAAATTACTTAACCGATTTTATCTTTAGAAAGTTACCTGATTAGCGAGTATGGTGGTTTGTATTTAATGTAAATATAATAGTTCTTTGTAAACCTTCTTCTGTATCAGCAACGCAAAACCGGGTCGAGACGCTAGTGTCTTATATTCGTGATGATGATGTTGAAAAAGAAGCGGTATTGTTATGAAAAAAATATTCTTTATTATTGAATGTAACAATTTCGATGTAACAAAGTTTTGTCTGGTTTACAAATGTTTTCCTATTCACAATACCTTACATGTGTAAGTATCTGGGTGTGTGTAAGCTACCATGCGACTTTGCTAAGCACGACATTCCCGCGACAGTCAATTGTTACTCACTTAATCTGTACTTTAGAACAACAACGTTTGAACCTATCGGATATTAATTAAGGCAGTTCGCGTGTTAATAACCACGCATATCTTGTACCGCAACAATGAAGAATATGATTCAATTCAATCACGTCACGCTATGAAACATGTGTGAGATTATCCCATTATACGGTACTGGTATTTCATTCAAGACATAATTCAGTTTGAATATATTCTGTATATTTTTTTTCTGACTACTCTAATACGATTTCGATTCCCGTTTGAATTAGACGGTGGATCGATGAGGGAGGAGGAGGAGGGAATCTGTATAAAAATTATCGATGAATTTTACGGTGCTTGAAAAAGTTGGAGCTTCATGTGCAAAATAACAAATTATATAATATAAATGGTATAAGAAAATTGGTTCCTACTGCTTAATTAATTTTATTAGCAATTTTATTAACAATATTGATAATAATTTGATTGTTAATCAAATGAATTTATACCTATACTATACAACTTGCAATTTTATCTCAATCAAAAATATTTTCGAAATCCGTTCTAATATATAATACAAAATTATATAATGTAGGTATAAAATATAATACAAAAAGTCATTTAATACAGAATGCTGTGTGAGAATTGAAATAATATTTAATAATTTACTCTATTAGTTATTCTGCTATTTGTAGCAGTAAGGAATTCAACAACTTTTTATTCATTATTTTTTTATAAAGATATTTGAGCGAATTGTTTTATTTAAATGCATATTTATTATTCCAACCAATTAAAGAAACTAACACTATAATTCCTAAGCTAAATTTCCTGAACTCTTCAGCGTATCAACATGTGGCGTATTTATTCTATCGTCCGATACTTCAAAATTAAACTTTTACTTACTTGTATAGTAGAGGAATACGCCTATTTTCAGATTCTTTAAACAAAGGACTAAAACGATTGAGTTCACATATTATGTTACTTTACAGAACAACATATAACTTCTGCAAAAGGTACACATTACGAAAATGGCAATAATTACCAAATTCAAATCTGAAATGTAGAACAAATGTTTTTGAAAGCATTAAAAAATGTTCATCTTTTTTAAATAAAAAGCTTATTCCTTGCTTTTACAAACAAGTTTTGTATGCATTTACAAAATCTGAGTTTAATTAAGAGCAGATTACTATTGATCGATAGATAGGTAATATCTAAGTAGAATAGAATTTTTTTATTAACTCGTTTTTAGTATGTATACTATATATAATGTCAAAAATTTTTAACGGTTAAAATATGTGACCAAGTGCGGAACCCCATTCTCTGGTGCCCGAAACACACTTGTCCAGTGTTTATCATTGACTGGAAAGAATAAATATTAGAAAAGTATTCACCTCTAATTTATTAAGTCGAATGCCACAAACTTTCAAACTACTGACAATATGTGCCAATCATTCTTTAGTTCATTCAATAATATTCTATCAGGAGTTCGGAACGTAGCGATAGACTAGATTACTAGACAGGTTAGATTACTATAAAGTAATCCAACATTGCTAGTAGTAAATTGAAGAAATAAGAAAATTTTAATGTATATTTAATAAGTATTATAAAAATACTATGTGTATGAATTAAATAACAATAAATTAATATAAATAAATAAAGAACGTTTCTAATTCGTTTTACAAAAAATATCAGCAACTATAATGTCGGACAGAACAATATTAAAAGCGAAAACAGAAATTTACACATCTTTGCGTATGATCACTTTATGTATGAAATGCCTAGGTTTATCATTTGAAGATGCAAAGACAATAACTACTTATGTCATCCAGAAAATGAAACTCCTTCTTTGTGTTAGTGCTGTGTGCTATCACGTCTTCAGTGACATTGTTTACATAGGCCTCACGTTGTCTGATTCACCACGGGTACAGGACGTTGTTCCGCTTTTTCACCCTTTTGGATATAGTATTTTAAGTAAGTAGTGTAACTGGAATTCGGTAATAGAAAAAACGGTCAAGTCCGAGTTGAATTTACATACTCGATTAATCTTAGACAGATTTTGATTCTGTTTGTTATTTTAAAATGCTAAAATCTTTATTTTGCATCTTTCTTAAAAAGTTTTATTTTCCTTCTTACGTTCGCTACCTTCTTTTCTCACCCCCCCCCCCCCCCTTATATATTTTCTTATTAAAATTTTCTCTACCCAAATATGTCTAAAAGAGATTTCTTAGCGATACGACTGCCTTTTGTATCAGTTCATGCCAATTTATTATTTTAAAATAATAAATGTAGTTTATAGAGTGCCCAATTCATGTAGAATTGGGCCAATTACTAACGGACCAATATACTTCCAGGTATCGCGAAGGGCTTTGCGCTATGGTACAAGAGAGATGAATTCAAGCAACTAATTAATGAACTAGCTGTAATTTGGCCGGATCCACAGTTTGATAAGGATGCACAAACTATTAAAGAAAATGCACTTACCGCCTTGCACATCACCCATCAATGTAACCTAAACCAAAACATGAACAGTTGTTTGTTTGTTGTTGTTTAAGAGAGACTGAAATATTTATGCGTATATGTATTATGGCTAAATTGCCAATGTAGAGGATGAATGAGATTTAATGTTATATAGAATTATATATTCTAATGAAAAAGTTTTTTTTTTAATTTGGAGAAGACAAAAAACTAAGTTCTTTTCAAATATATCAGCTATTCCTATAACCTATGTAATAATAAAAATAATAATATATACAATATATAGAATATTCTTAACGAAATGGGATGCCGCAGAACACAGCTTATCGATAAACTTTATATCAATATTCGCCTAGATGGACTAGAGTTTGCATGAAAAATGGACGGACTGTATAACAGGTTGTAGTGTGTAAAAATTATGAGATTTCTAATGATTTTGGCCGCTGCTGTACAACTTCACGGAAAAATACGTGGAGTGCTAATGACACTCCAAATCCACTGAAGGACTTATGGAGCCGCTGAAGACCAACTCCTGCCTCCTCCTACGATTTTAAGCTGACTCCTTCACGTGACTCGTCAGTTTGCTTGGCATTTCTACTGTGTAAAAATAACTTTGTATTGTATTTTAGGGTACTCCGGTGTAAACATAATTGGAGTAGCGTTTTATTGTGTGACTCCAATCGGCATATATGTGTACGATTTGTTATTAGGACGAGAAGCTGAAATTGGTTTCGTTTGGTTCTCTTGGTACCCGTGCGATAAACGAAAGCCTTTGGCACACATTCTTATATATTTATTTGAAGTATTTATTGGTAAGTCTATTCATATTCTGTATTTAGAACTAATTCTAATTATTATTTTATAAATAAAAACAGTTAATCTATAAAAAAGTAAATAAAACTTAACTTTTTGTTAGATATCTTAATCTTAAAACAAAACTATACTTTAGAAAACTAAACCGGAATAAAGACTTAATTTAATCCTGTTTTAATTGTGACATACAAAAAGAAACATATCATTGACAAGAAAATTAGTACAATTGTACACCGTTACGCTTCATACAACCATTTATTTAGACAATTCGCAATTTAAATATTTGTTTTATTAACAGTTATGAGTGAAAGTTGTAATGATATACAATTATCTCAATATAACAACGATTATCACATTCAGAGTAACACTTTACTTTGTTCCATTGTACTACTACTCATACTAAGCAGCAATTAATCTAGTTTAAAATAAGAGTTCGAGCTCCTCTATACGTTTCAAGATCAAAAAACCATGTGCATAATTATAATAACATAATACAGTGATGTCTGAATCTACACAGATACTTTTATTATGCTGCTCTTGAATAACAAATCTAGATTACTATATTGGTTCAATAAAAACACACCCACTCGTTTATTTTAAAAACTATCTAAAATTTAATGTATATAATTTAAAATACCTAGTTTAAAACACCTATTCTTTCGGTATACCTGAAATAAGTGGGATATTTGTACTTTCAAATATTTGCTATATATATTAATTGTTAAAAAAGAAACCATGAATGATATTAAATTTAAATTTTACAATAATCTCTGATACTGAATATTTATGTACAGACATGTCAGACATTGTACAGTATACGCGTTTTCAGGACAAACTTGTGTATGTGTTATGGTGAGCACTGATCTACTATTTTCTGGAATGGCAAGCCATATTAGTATGCTTTTACGCATGCTTCAGCAACGATTGGAGAATATAGGATCTACTGAACAAACGGATGAAGAAATGTATAAAGATATAATAGGGAATATTAAGCTCCATCAACGCCTTATAAGGTTCGTAGTGGATTACTGCAATTCATAATTGTAGGCAGTGAAATGTGGGCATGTCCAATATTGTGTTCGTTAAAGTTTATAATGCTTATTACCCCATCGAAAACGACAGTTGTGAAAGTTGACTTTTTATTATCGTAATATTAAAGTAAAAACATAGAAAATGTTTTTACTTTAATATTATGATAATAAAAAGTCCTTTTACAAAAATTACGTGGACGAAGGAGACACATGAAATAACAACATAATATTTGCAGTCTTTACATCTCGTTGGACTACTTTACTATAAAAACCAGTTCCTTACTATTTATATAAAATTGAAATGGAATTTTAAATTTATGTACATGGTCATTTTTGTTGAAGGTTTTTCAATTGTTTTACATTTTACTATCTAAAGTATTGATTCAATTAAAAGAAACTGATGAGACAATAATAATTCTGATACAGACTTTATATAGTAAATTATAGATGAACAACGCTACATTGCAAACCAATCAGTTTTAGAAAAACATTCACTTTAAAAAAAAAAAGTAAACTACAGGCCTTATATTTCACAGGTACTGCAACGACCTATCAGAAACATTTTCACCGTCATTTCTTGTGAACGTTGTGCTAAGCTCAATCAACATTTGCTGTGTCGTATTTGTTATTGTCGTAAGTACCTATTCTATTTTTATTTTAGAGAAGTTTGTCATTAGCCTTATTTCTCATACCATATCATATAGCAACAATGATACAACGTAGAAAAAAAATATTTATTTCTCGCTTAAGTATCCAAGTACACATTTCCAAATATTTCTGAAATTTCACTATTTTTTATTTTATAATCTGTCTTGTGTAGATACACTTCTATAGATATACTTGTATAGATACCTACTAGGTTTTTTACATTGTTTAACTTAATAACACTTGAATATTAAATATAACATAATTATTTTCCAGCTATTGGACCCATTGATAGACGGCAGCAACAAACTATATTTAAGCTCGGCTTTGATGCAAATAGGAATCCTGTGTTGGTATGGAGACCTAATAATTCACGCGGTAAATATTATAATTTTTACATACAATACCAGAATTAATGCAGATAAAATCTTACAGTTTGTAAAGACTGTTGTTTCTATAGACAAACAATCATACTCATGCATACAAATGTTTTGCACCATGTGAGGAATCCAACCCGCGACTATTACATCCATTTGATTAAAAACATTAATCCTTATCCCTTCTATAGGTAGTATGATGGTGGGTATTTTGTAATATATCTGGTAGTTAGCAGTAAGTAATCTAAATTGTTTTGTGCAGAATGCGGACGTCGCTGTAGCAGCGTATAATAGCCGTTGGTACCGTACTAATCCTCGCTGTCGTCGCGCTCTGCTTTTCCTTATACAGAGGTAGTTGCAACTGTACCTTTACGAAATATATGGCAAGATCATCGATAAACTAATGCATACCCAAAGGGGGCAATAAACAAAATTAAAGTAATAAAATTCGTAGCTATGGACTCTGTATTCCAAGTTAGTCTGTACAATAACCTTGCTCTTCCCTTTTAAAGATTACTTATCCAGCCCGACAGTAATAAGTATTACGGCGATGTATATTCGTAAAATTGTGTTTCAATTTGTATGTAACAACACAACATTGTGTAGAAAAAAAAACCAATCTCATGGATGCAAACTTCTGTAAAAAAATATTTGAAACTGCCATATATTGTACAATACTATCTGAAGAAACTATGTATTTTTATGCTACATTCTATTTCATGATATGGTAACATTCTACCGTTGTATGCTCTTTCGACATCTATTCCTACAACATTTATTTGCAGCAGCCTGAAAAACGTGACGGAAAACAAAACTTAATACACAATTTTTAGAATCGATGAATTATACCGATTTCTATATAAAGCCGACTGACCTACTCGCATTTTTATGTGTCTACTACCATCTCAATCGTTTTATTGATAAAAATAATGTGGGCGTGGACAAAATTCTACATGGGATACTAATGGATGTCATAGCATTAAGGCCACCTTATAAGAGAATTAATAGAAAATTTTATTTGACAAGATTTTGAAGTTGACCAAATTTGAATTGAACTCTTATTTTTATTAGAGACACACTTTCAATTCAATTTTCTAATCACCATGTTTTAATTTACTTTACTACAGCGGTATAAGGGCCCAAATCAACCGTTTAATTTTCAGGAAAAACTCAGTTTTCGTTGCAATTTTATGAATTATATAAAATATATTTGGTTACAGGGCCCAAAAACCGATAGCCTTTACTGCTATGGGTTTTACAGATATATCATTGACCACTTATACATCGGTAAGATTTATTAACATAAACCGACCAACTTGAATGCATACTTATTGCTCTTAAAAGAATTAATTAAGAAAATCTTTCAAGTGTATATTATTAAAACAATGCCTTTTTTTCAGATTCTGACAACATCGTACTCATACTTTGCTCTCGCTTATACTATGTACAACAAAAATTTGAAATGATCATCACACTACGTACCATACCCAAACTAGAAATCTAATGCTGTATATATTGTTTGATAAATGTTATCCAGACATTCTCTATAGTATCATGATATCATATTTTTGTGCATATAGACGCTTTATTAGAAAAAAATTACTTATTAGTATAGAACATTTTGAGCAGTTCTCAATTTAGTGTATTAATTGATTAAATACGCCCAATACTTTCTTTGTATATTTTTTCTATAATCTAAAACTTCAAACTGTCCGCCGAATCGAAATATATAACTGTCACCTGCTAATACTAACAGTACCGTGAACGATTTTCAATGTACTGCACTAATTGCTTTAAATGGGAACTAAATAGCACGTTATATCCAGTATTACTCATAGTCTACCTATGAAAGCTACGCCTCTATTAAAGAAATTAATAAACTATTCTTTAAACTAAAAACCTTTTTAACAATATTTTACAAATTACATGAAGTCTAGTACGGTTCGAACGGACCGTGCCAAGTCGCTAGTAAATGATTCTGAATCCATATAAATTAATGTCCAATTCATGTCCTGTACACAAGTATGTAGATAGGTATCATTATACTAAAAGTAACTAACACAGTAAATTATTTTAAACTATATAAGTGGCATACTATATTAATATATGAGGTGTAATTATTCGTAGGACTAATGATACTTTAAACACAAACTTTAATGCTTAAACATATGTTATTCGTCTGTAAAATACGCCCACTCTGAAAAGTATCTGAAAGTAATTGAAGTTTCAGAAAGGCTTAACTCTCATATCTTTAAATAAGATGTCATGAAATACTAGAACACACAACTTAATCAAAAGTCGAAATTAGTAGACTTAGTTATCACCATTTTCCACACACAAAAAATAAAATATAGAGTATATTTTGTGATACTTCAGTATTCTGTATCAGATCATTTCAATACATCCTCAAAATAAAGAAAAAAACTGAAACTTTGAAACTATAATGTCGGAAACGGCAATATTAAAAGCTAAATCTGAAATAAATAAATCCTTAGTGTTGATCACGTTTTGTATGAAATCTATGGGCTTATCTTTTGAAGAACCAAGGAATGTTATGACGTTCTTATTCCAAAAACTAGTATTCATCCTTTCTGTCTGTACTCTATGCTATCACGTCTTTGGTGATTTCGTATATATAGGTATCACTTTGTCTAATTCACCACGAGTGGAGGATGTAGTTCCGCTTTTTCACACCTATGGATATGGAGTTTTAAGTAAGTAACTAATATTAAATACATTAATGTTACTTCTATTATAATCTTTGCTGAGGTAGTAGCAGGCATATAGTTACAAGTCTATGTTGTGGTGAATGCAATGCGTAATATTTCCATTAATATTTTATACAATTTTTATTAATATTTATTTCGATAAATCGACCGATATCATTTAGTGGATAATATTTAACTACAATATTAAATATGCTAACCATAGTACTTATTATTTAAAACTATAATAATTTATAATATTTATTTTTGTAGCAATACTGTTCCTTCACATTGTAAAAGAAATTAAACTCAGCAACAATCCATATTTCAGGTATGGCGAAAGGATTTGCGCTATGGTACAAAAAAGATAAATTCAAACAGCTCATTGATGAACTAGCTGTGATTTGGCCAGATCCTCAGTCCGATAAGGAAGCACAAACTATTAAAGAAAATTCACTTTCCACGTTGCACATCGCCCATCAATGTAATTTGAAATAATTTTAGACTATTCTCATATGATATTTTAAGTTTTGTACAAAGATATAAATAAGTAATCATGCAGTTACACGAGTTTACGTTACTAACTAAGTAGAGCTTTTTTCTATGTAACTGGATTAGCAAACAATATAGTTAAACAAAACTATAGGCATCACTTTATTATTTGAAGCTCGTTGCACCACACTACTATAACAAAATACAAAGTATGTTGCTTGGTACCTGAATTTTTTATGTACTGAATATGACATCATATACATAATTATTTTGTATAAATACATATTATACATAGATGTATACAAGCATTTTACTGGTAAAAGCTGTGTTCAAGTTATTATACCTTAATCATTTTATGTATTCCTTGTTAAAAGAGCCCTTTCAATAGAAACCGTCAAGAGGATACGTATCCTAACCTAATTCTATCAATTGTGTTTTAGGGTACTTCGCTATAAACATTATTGGCTTATGGTTTTATAACTTAACTCCAGTCGCCATTTACATGTACGAGTCGTTACTTGGACAGGAGTCTAAAATGGGCCTCATTTGGGTGTCCTGGTACCCTTTCGATAAATACAAACCCGTGATACACATCTTTGTCTATATCTTCGAAATATTTATTGGTAAGAATTAATTTATTCTTAATATTTTCTTTTATAAATTATCACATATTATACCTGCAATATCATCTACTTTATTATTTTTATATTCTGAATAAATATACATACAGGACAGCCTATGTCCGTTCTAGTAATACATTCACATTATACTCATTATGATTTTATTAGTCGTGAAAAGATAACAAATATACAAAAGCAAAAGCAACAAATTAATGCAAAAGAAAGATTTATAATAAAGATGCTTAGCCTAGGAAATATCTAATTAAATTATAATGAAAGTGTGTATAATTCAGTAAAAAAAATTACAGTTAGTGTGTATCATTCAGACGTAAATGTTTACTGTTGCCACATATGCATCATTCAATAGTTTTTACTCTGGTCCATAATAAAAAAATATTATTATACATATAATATATGTAAATATATAGTCATATTGCAGGACAAACATGTGTGTGGTTTATGGTGAGTACTGATCTACTATTTTCCGGGATGGCGAGTCACATCGGCATGATGTTACGAATACTACAGCGACGGTTGCAAAATGTAGCCATAAGTAATCAGACGGACGAGGAGGTTTACAAAGATATAATGGAAAATATCAAACTTCATCAGCGTCTTATTAGGTTTGTTCCTGGTGTATTTTTGTAATGTATGCCATCAAAACTGTTATTTCAGATGAGGTCAGCAGAAACGTTACCAAATATAGGCGTTGTGGTGAATGAAAAACAATTGACATGCTCTTATTTCGAGCAGTACATAAAATGGGTGAGAACGAGCCTACCGCTATCCCTCAAATCCATATAATTTCATCGTTATTATCTTTAAAAAACTGTTTTGTAATCTTAGAATTATGTCCTATATTACATAATCCATAATCAATTTGAAACCAACATCATAAAGCTTTATTATGATATTTTTTAGTTTTCATTTACATTCTGTTTTTTATTGTTGAAAATATTAATTATGTCTAAACAATATCGATACCTTAACAGTATGGTGTTCTACCCAAGAACTAGATTGTTTTGTTTCATAAACAAGAACAGGTATAATTTATTTACAGATACTGTAAGGATCTTTCAGACGCCTTTTCACTGGCATTCCTTGTCAATATTATGCTAAGCTCGGTTAACATTTGCTGTGTTGTATTTGTTATTGTCGTAAGTATTAACTGCTAAAATATTTTATGATTAGTAGTAAAGAGCACCTTACAAGCAGTTCTAATTAAATATTCAGTTTTAAATCACAACATAGGTTCCAAGCCTACCTCTTTCCACAGTCTTACTCATATCTTTGACGGATAAGGAGATCTGAACACATTGTTAATTAAGATTAAAAAAGATAATAAAGTTACTAAAGTAACTGGAGTATTACATATTAATCCTCATTATATCTATAATACCCTCTATGTATACATAAATGACTGTTACCACCTTAAACTACGTGGGTCGATAGTGCCGATATTATACCTTTTTAAGTCGTATAAAAATAGAAATACAATTTTAAAAATAAATAAAATCAATATTTTCTCTGGTCAAAATCCAAATAAGGTAAGTAGTCACAGTCCTTAATTCAAATCAACATTATGTATCATATATAATCTTACTTTCACTATTCCCAATTTTGTTCTAAAGTAATTAGTTTTTCTTTCTGAATAATGAGTAACTTATACTATGTAATAATCTCTTATTGGGAGATGGGGAATGTTAATAGGTAATATGAACTATTAACCAGCCATTACCAGCAATGTAACATGTCAGGTTGACCTCCACACGGTTCTCCTGGATACCATCGTGATATATTCCTAGTGAATTAGCCACGATGGGCTAACTCACCTAACCTAATGCTCGTCTTATCATTTCTACTGTCTCGCCAGCGTGAACCGTTAGCGCGTGCGGGTGCACCATTCCATTATCATCTTAGTATTCTCCTATCTATGCTTATACTTACTATTCCTAAAGCAGATGCCTAAAATATATTTTATTACTCAACAGTTGCTGGATCCAATAATGGCCGTTAGTAACAAATTGTACTTAGGTTCAGCTTTGATGCAGATAGGAATCCTGTGTTGGTACGGCGACCTAATAATTCATGCGGTGAGTAATCAGTCAACTATCAGTTGTTAATGACCTATGTATGTATATAGGTAGGTATCACGATATTCTATATAGAAATCAAGTGGTGACATTTCTCACCTATATACATACATAGGTCATTAACAACTGATATTCAAACATATAATGAAATAAAAACATTAGAAATTAAGCAATTAAGCGCGCATTGGGTTTTACTATATAATATTACATTTTCTGTGTTTTAGCTGGGTAATAAATATAAGCTAAAATCGAGATAAGATTCAACAGCCATTAAATTTTTGCTATATCATTATATTATAAGCGGAATGTCATACAATGACAGGAGCAATAAGGCTGTTTTTGATAGATACAAAATCCTAATGTAGTAAAATAGCAACATATTCATGCCTTATAAATCTAGCTATAAATTTGCATATTATATGCCGATGTTAAAAGCGGCGTTAGTTATAAAAAGCTACAATATTTATATTTCAAATAGGTATATCTGCCATAAGTAGTAAAACATTAAGTATGTATTACATTTCATTGTTTTGCACAGAATGCCGACGTCGCTGTATCAGCATATAATAGTGGTTGGTATCGTACGGATCCACGGTGTCGGCGCGCTCTGATTTTTCTAATACAAAGGTACATATCTAATTATTATTTTTTAAGACGTATACTCATTGCCGAGAAATTAACAAACAAATGTATTAGTAACAAAAAGTATAATTAATTATAATATATATATATATATATATATATATATATATATATATATAATGAGTATAATACATTAATTAAATGAAGAAAATGCTAAACTACTTGGACATGTGTAATCATATTTATACTCCTGGCCTTTTTAAAACTGTACTCGTGTAGTCAATATCAAAAACTAATATTAAATTTTTAATGTTGTTTAGACTGTATGACTATTTTTTGACCCATATTTTCTTCTTGTGTCGTATGTTATATCTATTCATTCATATAATTATAGTAGTATTATACACAAAAAGGAAAATAAAAAACTAAGCATTCTATTTAATTTCAGAGCTCAAAAACCTATCGCGTTTACAGCCATGGGTTTTACGAACGTGTCACTTACTACTTATTCATCGGTAAGATATACATTTTATGAGTTAAGAGACCATTTTACCGATACCAATTATATTTAGTCTATCTATAGTGAAATTTTTAAGAAAATATTTTAAAGATAATTTCTCTTTCAGATCCTGACTACATCGTACTCATATTTTGCTCTCGCTTATACTATGTATAATAAAAATTCTACGTAATCTAATCTGGTGCTAGCTATTTACTTCACGTTTATTTGATATGTTACATTATAATGTTAGATAAATCACTAACTTTAACTATTTTTGCTAGTAACAGATATAGGTTGAATATTTTAAACTCTTTAGGTATTTTATTTGTATTACGTTCAACATACTGCAAATGTATTTTAAATGAAATAAATTAGGTAGTGTTTGCCTATAGTAAGACGTTGACTATGATTTATTTTTACTTATAAACTTTCTTCAAATATTTCAAGTTAAATAAAAAACATTATTGATCCTAATCTGACAGATGATATAAGAATATAAACTATACAATAGATATCTGTATGGTACCTGAATAATAAGTATTTCAATAAGAATAACGTGCGAGTTACTGATCTTGAAGTAAGGTAAGCTAACCTACAATATATTAAGCATACACAACAAAATGATCTCATACATGACCTACTTTCAAACCTTTGCCAAATTGGTAATATTAACCACCGAGATAAAGTACAAAATAACACATTCTTCTTATTCCTTATAAAGATATACAAAACTATTCAAACCCACGCGCGAATTAACGGCTATACAGAGGTTTTATCTTCTTTTTCACTCAGATGTTAAATACTTTTTTCCAAATATAAGTCATTATTTTCTTCCTAAAGTTTTACATTACAACTCTGTGACTTCGAGTGGGTACTAATTATGAAAGAATATACAATGATGCCGTAGCAACACGAACCGAAGCAAACCCATTCAAGTAAAACAATACATTCCATATGTCACGTAGCTTAAACATCAAGTAGAATAGACAATAAAAATGTGTCATACTATTGTTTACTTTACAGGTTAGAATAAGTGCATTTAGTATTATGTTCCAACCTAATCTGAAAAAGAAAAGAATACGTTTATGTAGCACAAAAGTTTTTAGACACAAAGCTCTAAATAGCGATGAAACAGAATCGGTAATATATTTTTTAACTAATTATATAATCCAGTTTTCGTTTCAGCAATCTTATCAAAAATTATCAAAGTACATTTAACATTATACATCAGCGACTTATTTATTTAACATTTTAGTTGGAGGAAGAGATTCTTGATATGAATGTAAATCGCCGTATTCACTTGCCTAAATGAAATTCTGATGAGGCGGAATTCTTACAGTTAGTGTCTGATGGTGATGTGTATGCTGTAATAAAATACCTTCAGAGTCATTCTGGATTGAATATAAACTGCCTTAATTTTCAGGTCAAAACTTTAACTTTTTTATTTTCTTTCAATTCTACATGAATTGTGTTTTATGTAAGTTTTATCGCTAAAGTCATATAAAACTATACAGATAACTGATGAAATATAATTAATTTCTTACTAGTTTTACAGAACTCTCACAGAACAACTTACGTCTTAACAGTAATTCTTTATACTCCATACTCACTTATTATATACTGTATAGTATCATTTCTGTAGTCAAGTACTCCAACATTCATCCGTTTAGTGTCAACATTAGATTTTCCAAAAAAGTTTAGGAAAATCTTTTATAGCTACACCTTTGCATATTTAATCATATTTTGAACGTTACCAATTACAATGTAGGGCACATCGGCTCTTCACATAGCAGTGCAAAACCGATCGGAGGAAATGGTGGAATTTTTGTCGAACCAACCACATATAGAAATTGGTGACAACATCTTATACGCCGTTCAATATAACAGTATTAACATTTTGGGTAAATACTGTTCTTGATTTCATTTCTCTTGACTCAATTTTACAAGTATATGTTATTTTACTTACTTATTTATTATTTTTGTAGTAATGTTGTTGGAAGCTCAGAAAAAAATGTGTCCTGGATTAGAATTTGCTGGATCGACACATTCCTCTCAATTTCCTGAACATGTAACACCATTGATATTGGCTGCACAATTGGGTCATTATGAAATTATTGCGTTATTGATAGCTCGTGGTCATACAATAGTACCACCTCATTCACCGCATTGCAATTGCACAAGTTGCAAGTTAGTTAGTTTTGTCCGAGTAACTATCCGTTAGTTTTATTCATCAACTATATATAGGTAAAAAATATTGTATTGTACCATACACAGAACGTAAATTATATTTATAAACATTTTATTTATTTATGTATTTTATCAATTTTTCCTAGATAGTGAATGTTAATGTTGAAAAATTTTAAACATTGACAAAAACAGCATTATCTGTAGGTGGTATAAAAAAAAATTAGCTATAATGAAGCCTAATAGTAAGCCTACTAGGCTTCATTATACGGTTATAGCTAAGCTTTTATAAAGTATTTTTATTTATATTAAAATAGTCTATGCCTGTTTATAATTGGTTTAGATTATTTATTAAAATATACACTGTACGCCAACTTGAACCGCACAGATTATTGTTCACTGATTGAAAATCAATTGGATTTCACATATCCTTAGTTTATTCATACTAAATAAAAGCAATAGTGTGTCTTTATCTGTATGTTACTTTTCACGGCTAAATATTAAACGTGAAAATATATGCCATCTCGCGAACAAATACAGGCTTTCCAAAATTTAAAAAACAAAGATACCTCTACTACATAGTATCAAATCTATGTTTATTTTCAAGAAAATCTCTCGAGAAAGACGATCCATTGTATGCAAGTATAGCGCCTCTCTCCACTTACTGTGCATACTTGATACAAACATCCCCGGATCCAATCTTGGCATCGTTCCTCGTCACGTCGGTACTAGTTGACAACGCTACTGCGTATAGACAATTAGCTGCAGCCTACATACAATTAAGGGATGATGTCAGCGCTTTCGCTATTGACCTTATAGGTGACTCTTGAACTCATTTCTTTTAAATTACGCCATTTTATTTCGAAAGTAACACGATCCTACATATATATAGTATCCGGACTGAATAAAGTAAGCCATCTTTTCTCATATTACTTGAATCCCAAATAGTTCCAATGGGTTATAAGTGATAACAGTTGCCTATATACCAGAATAGCCTAACATCTCGTGAGTTAACATCCGGAAACTAAGATGTTACGCCTCCTTACTCTCTAAATTTACTGCCAAATCTCACCCTCCAATCGAAACACAGGTTATAAAGAAGCTTTGTTGTGACCGGCTAAAATTTGTGAGACATAGGTATCCACGCACACGACTACAAAGTCTACCTCTGGTAAAATAGAGTCATCCCCTTTACATATTATATTGTTTGCGGCCTTCGATTATACATACGTGTTGATTATTTTCAACAAAGTAAAGTCATGATTACTAACTATTTTGATTAACTACAAAAACATTGTTTAATTCTAGTGAAAACAGTGAGCGTATATAATAATATTACTAAGACTATGGTTTGCTTTTCTGAGCTTAATTTTTCAAATCGGGGCTCTGGGGGTTTCGCAGTGCCCCCGATTAGATGCCCGGGGCATCGCAAAGCACAGTTAAGGCACCATTAAGCTATGTTGCGACAACTAATTCAACGGATTAACAATACTGGCAGACTTGTAATAAATTGAAATGATTTCGGACATTTTCTTTTTCTATATTTTATAACAACAATTAGTTAATTAATGGATCGAAGTAAGTGGCATTGTTAACTTTCGCATAAATAAACTCTCATAAGGTTGCTGTCGGACTTCGGAAGAGGTTGAGGTGATACTCAAACAATCGGGATGCCGTCAGCAACGGTACTTCGTATTACCTCGTCTACTTATGGCTTTAGACTACAAACAGAAGGAATTTATTGCACATCCTAATACACAACAGGTATAAAATACAATATTCACGATTTGCAGAATTCTACAAGTGGTTCTAACATACCGCTATGTCATGCACCACTAATGGATTACGCATGGAATATTGTCATTTTTTGTAATTATAATAGTAGAGACGGTTTTCGTTTCGCGATAAGTAAATATGTAAATAGATTAACACTGTTATCTTGTTATACTTGTTTTACTTTCTATCCTAATTAAAAAATAAGTTATTTTATTAACATATCCGACCTCTCATATATAAAATAATCTACTTTTCATTTTTGTAAACCATGACCTCAAGGACGAAGTTATACGGAAATTGGTATGAATATAAAGTATTATTTGTACTCAGTATCCTCGAGTAATTAATTAAATTGATTTTTTTGTGATATTTATATATATCTTTATTGACTGTTTAGAAAATTCGTATAATGTGTTATGATTATTTATAGATTACGCACAAAGTAACTGTTTTCACAATAATAACAATTAGGTACTACAAAAATAAATATCGCTGATATTTCAATTACCAATGTACTGTGCATATAATATATATAACGCTATTGTTAAAAAAATTGCTAGTTTTGGAATCTCTCTGGCTTGGTGACTGGTACAGTTGGAGAAATAAATCATCTTTGAAAAAAGCATTCATCATCGTAACCCGAATTATAATAATGCCGTTCATTCTATTATTGTGTGTGGTATGTTCGAAAGGCACAAAATCGAGTTTTTTATGACATTTGCAAAATGTTTAAGAACATTATTGAATCAGTATGTGATAACTGATTACATATAAATTACTTCATGCCTGAAATTGATAACCATATACATACTATTAAATTATTGTAGAGCACATTTCTGTCTAATTTTAAATTAAGAAAAATCTATCCTGTGCAAGTCAAAAAATATTTTGCCAAAACTTTCTCTTCTTCCTTTATTTTTGTAATGTTTTACGCATACTAATATTTAATAATGCTTATTATCAGCCATATATTGTGTGTTTAATTAAATCTTATACAGATAGCTCCACGACACATGCTCGTTAGACACTGGCAGATACCGTTGAATAAACTTATTACGCATGCAGCTGCTTACTTCGTGTTCCTCACTCTAGTCTTCTACATCTTGAATCAAGATAAAACTGAACAGAAACGGGGCCCGCCAAACACAGGTTCGTGTTTTATTAACAGATGGCGCTAATGAGATACTCTGTCAAGATGATCGCAGTAAATTTTATTGTTCCGATTATTTAAAAGATTACTTACTTAGATATTTATTAGAATGGCAGTTCCGCCGATAATTAGATGCTCTATAGTAGCCGTATTTACGTCCATGATTATCTAATAGCCTAGTACTTATTAGTATAAAAAGAAATATTTACTATTATATCTTACCGTTTTTAATTAGAAGTTATTTTTAATATATTTCAAAAAAGAGGTTTATACTAAGCCTGCCACACATATAGAAGTGTGGTATATCAAAGAACTCACAATATCATTTAATATCCAATAATTGACAAGATCATAGTGGAGCCTTTATGTCGAAGAGTTGCTTCGACTTAACTCTAGAGATCCAGCCAACAAATTCAATGCGTCAAGAGTACAAACTGATAATACTTTCTATATAATAGTATTATAACATGCTAAACTGTTCGTTAAATGCAAAGGTTATGCGTGAACATTTACTTACTGACCAGTATTCTGTATTCTAGGTGCTAAAGCTCCATTAATACTTGATGTATGTGATTACTTATGGTCTGCCATTAGAATGTGTTTAGTGTTGGGCCCTTGTCGATATTTTACTGTAATGTGAAACTGGGCGGAGCTTATCATAATATTATTATTCATCCTTACTTTTACTTTTTGGATTACTGTTGCGATAGAAGTTGCTAACACAAATAAAGATTTAGGTATCTTAATAACTACTTAATTTCATCTCCTATTATTTTAATGCTTACTCAGTTTTTTTTAACTGTCCTACCATATGTGTTTTATAAGGGAAATATAAAGTTAAGTTTAAGCACGTTTTGCTTAGCCACTATATTTGCTTATTTCCGACTTATTTGCCATACCATCTATGGCCTTTGCAGGTATGCATTATACATTTTGCAAGTATGCATTAAAACCTTTGCATGTAAACCTTACAATGTAAAATTGTAACTAGTAACAGACTCTGAAACTATATATATCTTTTGCTATATATTTATTTTAAATTACTTGAATGTAACTTATTTTACAACTTTTTGGGGGTACCGAATACTCCGAATACTTCGAATACCGAAACTTACACTTCGAATTGTCTTTCATCCATACGAATGGTATCAGAAAAGTTAACTTACATCTTCGGAATTATAATTTAACATCTTGTTTTATTTACTAATGTTATTACAAAATAAAATAATAGTTGTATTTTTCAGTGTTTTATAGATGTTAGATACCTATTTGGAAATGTACTTACACCTGTTTATAAATACACTTTTATGATTCTACATACGTTTCTTTAGGAAAGATGACGATAGACATTTACAAATACGTGATAGTATTTTCAATAATTATCTGCGCTTTCGCTGCGGGGATGGCGCGTCTCTACCAATACTACGATAGCATGGTTTATGAAGATGAATTTGGAATGAAAACTGTACAGGTGTTCAAGTTTTATATTAGCTAACAACCCGCTCTTACTTCTTAGAATTATATATTTAATTGCCATACGATATAGAAATGAAACCTCTCAGTGACTATTATATTAAATTCCATATGGTGCGTAGACAACTATTATATATAGACAGAGACAGAACATCTGAATAGTATTTTTTATATAGACATACATAATACTTATCAATATTCTTACAGCATCATGAGAAAATAGATAAAAGAAATGTTCACAAAAATCATCATTACGCGCAGTAGTGCAAGTTAGTAACGGTAGTGAGTTTTAAAAACCTAAAATTTTGAATTGTTTTTTGAAACCAAGCCATGTGCCTCAAAAGAATTGCTTCAGGCACTGGATGAGATACAAATTGCGTTATATGATTAGTAAATGTAACCATAGCCTATATATGATAGGATTATTCAATTGTTTGTGACCACATTATACAGTGTTTTTAAATTATACTTCATTTTCGATAGTCAATTTCATAGAACGAGAGAGCCACATAGCCAGTTGGATGTCAAATTAATGTTTATTTGCAATAAACCCGTGCCGACCTCAATAAAACTACTCCACATAAAGTAAAACTCCACTGTAAAGTTACAGCGTAACGTATTGCCAATAGTAACTTTATTGTCTCTTACATTTGTAGTTTAAAGTTCATACAATATAAAGCATTCATGGTTTTTACACCATTCCACCATTTGAGTTTCTATTATCCTAAGGTGAGGCTATAAAAAGTTGTCTGCGTGGGTAGTTCAGTGTCCCCTATTTCAATCGCCAAGATGTTATGTACGCTTTGTTTTGGTTATAGAACGTTATTAGGCAGTGAAATTACTTACATCAACATCTTAGTCCTCTGGAATGAATAGTTCACGTATATCATGTGATATATGTGATAACATGATATCCATGGTGATATTCATGTATATAGGCGATGGTTGCCGCTTACTATCATGGAAGCCATCAGATTCTTTGCTATTTTATATACATAAAAAATATTACTACTTACTATTTTATACTTTACTATTTATTTTGGATTAACTTATCTCTTATACACAATATATAAACGGGATATATAGTGCCCTCGTAACAATATTTACGAGCTTCCTTTTATATTATCATGGTATCCTTTATATGTATAATATGTACAATTGTATATCACCGTAAAAAAAGTTTAATGCTGTAACTCATCCTATATAATGATTTATGATTATTATCATAAATCATAACTGGTCATTTCCTAAAATTGTGGTAAAGTAACACAAAGCATTACTTAAATACACACTTCGTAATTCAAATATACATAGAAAAACACCATGACCAATATAAAAATATATTTGTATTTATACCCATAAACACAAATGTTTGTATCAAATGAGGTTCGGGCTCGCTATGCTTGTGAGGCATTGTACTAACCTCTAGACCACCGACGTCTTCAACAACCACTGTTTAAATATTATTTTATACAGATTTTGGTATTGTTTTACAGTAACAGTTACATAATTAAGTTATCAAATATATTATTTCAATATTTTACAACAAACTTAGGTATATCTTACCTACAGAATCCAGAACCATATATCAATCAGAAATATTTATTCAATATGCATCAACATTATTTAGGAATGTTGAATCAATTTGATAAAATGTTAATACATAGGTAATATTTAACAGTAAAAGCTTAATAAACATTTTGGTATGCAGGTTTCTTCATTTACAAGCCTAAAATAATGTTTTTAACGTATCCGTAAATACGTTAAAAACATTATTTTGGGCTTTATTCTGCATGGCTCCATTGGAAAGCGCTGATGTGGTACTTATAAATACAAAAGACACAAAATATTCTGAAAAGTTTCAGAATAATAAACATGAATATACGGAACTAATTGGATACTTCTGTTTTGGTTGTATGTGTTCATTATTAATGAGTTTAATATAAGAATATAGTATGTGTATACTATATTCTATACTAAATATATAGTGTATATTTATACATAATTTTAAAATGTTTATTTTGAGGGTTATTATAAAATATCTTCATGATTCACGACTGCTATACCAATTGACATGTCATGAGGAGTTGACATGTCACGGGATAATTAGTACCTAACATGACAAGAGGTGATTATAGTATACCACCAGAGTTAGTCAGAAATAGAAATTGACACGTAAACTGTTGATGTGAGTCAGATTTGAATTCACTGATTTGAACACAGATCGAACTACGGCACTAAACCACAATGCGTTACTTTATGGGCTTATGTTTATAGTATCTATGAGATTAAGTAAAAAGTTTCCTTTAAATAATAAAGGAAACTTCCTTTAAAGATAGCTGAAGTATACAAATGGGAATGAATAATACAAAAGTGGAAAAGTTGAAGTACCAAAGCAGTTCTAAGCTATACATGACCAAATAGATCGTATACTGTTTGAAAAACATCAAGTAGGCATATTTAAAACCAGCTTGCATCAATGATTTCACTTTCATTATTAACCCGTACCTATAAATATCGAGACATATGGTACTCTACATCCAGTGCAGTATCAGCATCTCTGCTTACCCCTTAAGGAATCGTGCATTAAAATAAAGTGAGAGATATATCTACTAATACTTGTAGGTATGCCTATGTGTATTATATACATGTAAGTTCCTCAGCAGTGTGACAGCAATGCGTGAATTAATGATTAACATTTTCATTTAAAATTCAAATTCAAATTCAAAAATCATTTATTCATGTAGGACATTTTAGCCGCTTATGAACGTAAAATTTTTTCATTCTAATTTTTTTTGTATTTTTCCCTACCGTCCAGTTCAGTATATAGATCCAATTGAGAAGAACTGGCAAGAAACTCAATTGAATTACTTTTTTTTTAAAGCCAGTTTATTTACAATGTATATTTATATAGGTGTTTATATCTAACATTAAATGAAAATTCAGTGCATGAACAACTATTGCCATGCACACTTGTCGTTCAAGTAATCGTTTAGTGAGTAATAGGCTTTGCTCAGTAAATATGATTTAACAGATGTTTTGAATTTATTTAAGGGTAATTCCAACATATCCTTTGGTATCTTATTGTAAATTTTTATACCTATTCCCATAAAAGACCTATTAACTTTTTCCTATTGACCTATTGACCTATTAAATTCTTAGTGAAATAACTGAACTAATTTCATTCTCATTCAATCATCTTCAACTGGCGCACACCGTTAGTGCAAGCAGGACTACTCCTTAATTACTATACTAATATTAATATACATAGTGAGTGGGATGTGAATTCTGATGACCCCATTGCTAGCAATGTATCATGTCAGGTTGATTTTCATGCGGTTCCCCCTTGGAAACCATCGTGATAAATTCCTGGTGAATTTACTACGATGTAGGAAATAACCTGACCTCGTGGTCATCCTATCATCCCCCACTGTTGCCCCTTCAGTGCAGGTGAGTGCACTATACAATTATCATCCATTCCAAAATGTACCCATACCTATAAATATACACAGTGACTGTATCTGAAGACAAAATATTTCAGGTTTTGAAGTCATATCGGTAATTGTGGTATTGAACATGCTCATTGCAACTATGTCCAACACATTCCAAAGGGTAAATAATAATGTTGCCATTGAATTGACATTCAATAGAACAGAAGTAAGTGATATTAATTTATTAAATAAATATAAAAAAAGAAATGTATTCTAACTTTCATTACTAGTCAGTTAGTCATTTAGAAATTTGCAAGTCAATATTAAGCAAAAATATCGATATATTCCGTTTATAGTTAAGGAGTCTTGGGTAACTGAACCTGTGGAAATATCACGTGACTGGGACACCTCAATTGACTGAGATAAGCTATACATAGTTTATATCAAACGTTAATAACACTGGGCGAGTTTTTAATTTAATTTAGTAATTAAAAAATAATCGCATGGTCTTCTCAATTTGCTACTACAGAAAAATAAATATAGAAGTATACATATATATATATATATATAATACCAAACAAAGTAAAATGACATCCGTAGACAATTTACTATTTTTCTGGATCATTCTACTACTATCTTCTGCGTTTATTTGTATACATCTAGTCAACATCTAGTATCTATTTGCAAATAAACGCAGAAGATTAACTTACAATTAGCCTAACACAAATGGATATTAGACTAAATTATAAAGTTAGTGCAGCATTGATGTAGGAAACTTAGAGCTGCTAAATACGCACCTTTGTGCAAAATAATGTAATAGTAACGGTAACACATGACAGTTACGTAACCGCTTGTGAATATACACGTTTTTGTTAATTATAACCCGACGTGTAAGTGCAGTTATGTAACGTCTCTATTCGTACGCTTGTATTATTCATTACATCCGTACATTGTAAACCTATGCTGATTTTGCGCCTGCATGCATGCTACTGTGATCGAGAAATTGTGAGACTGCTATTTTAGTCCAAAAATGGTGGACCCACCAGGGACTTGTTTACATGTCTGTCATATACATACCTGCGTAAATCATGATTATTTTTTAATAAGAATGTCATAATTCACTTTAGATGTTTGAAAATTTAATCTAATGTTCAAATTTCTAAATATGACATGCCTAATAATCTATCCAATCTGTCTGTTATGCACTTTTTTATATTGAAATAGTGCAAGACTTTCTACATGGTCGTAAATAGGGATAGATTTTCGTATAAAGGTAGTGTAGAGGTGGATCAAATATCGAGTGCACCAGACACGCACCTAATCGGCGCTGCTCTAAAGGTCTTATCATTTTTAACTGATATCAGTAGTAAAAAAAACTTTATGTCCGTAGTAGGTACTATTTACTATATATATGATAGAGGTTACTCCAAGATGGTGTTCGCACTTCTTTACGACATGACAGTACACATCTGTAACATCCATGATTGGAGGAAGGGGATTGTCAGTACTAGGACCCATGACTTGCACCACATATGGTCGAACTTCATGTGGTCTCCCCTGGAAACCATTATGGTTAATTCCTAATTGGTCGGACCTCGTAGTCATCATCCAATACTGGTGCCCCACCACACTGGTGGTGTGTATACCTTTAGCGCAAGTTGATGCATCTTTTTACTATCAGTTAATATCCCTTTTAATGTATATCCAAATGTACCAGAACAGTACCATACTATTTTAAGATTTATAAAAAAAATATCTAAAGGTTTACATCAATTACATGTTGCAAACGACTCTTCCATCGCCCTTCGCCCTTCTGATTCCAACGGAAGCCTGCATGAGTAATATAGTTCAATGGTTACGAGCTAAACTTACGAAGACAAAAGGAGTCCACTCGCGTTGGTCTCTCTCACATTACTGTTATATGGTATAAAGCCTTTTTTATAAAGTGCGACATACAATTTAGCCCATATTATGCACGGGCACTGAATCGGCACTTGGACAAACGATACTAATAATTATGAAGTCAAGTCCAAAACTAATATTTTTACTGTAGACCACTATGTAAATTGCGGGCTAAGCTTAACGTCCCTCTTTAACACCCCAAAACATAACATCACAAAACCTTTCAAGCGATATAAGTATTATATAAATAGGTCGATTCGTATTTGTATTCACACCTATTTGTATAGACTACCTATTCGAAAGGTTAATCTATACACAGATTATGATTATGCAAGATGTGTAAGCATAGTTGATTTTATATTAATTGTTAAATCTAACCCCGGCACCAGAAGCTTCAAAATTTTTTAAATCTTTGGTTTCAATATTTTCTTAGAAATAATCTTAGTGTTACAGCCAATCATTAGCGGAGGCCCAGATCCGTTTATTTGTGATATTCTAAATTTTTAATTGTAATTAAAATATTTGCAGGAGCATGATGTAGAATCGAATCTACAAGGAAAATTCCCATCGTTAATGACAGTGATAGTTCAAAGATACTTTAAAAGCAAAGAAGCTAATGGAGTGAACAAGTTTGTGAGCAGAGATCGCAATCAGGGAGAATCCTGATAAAATTAAACTTACATAAACTATAGACAATAATTATATTAGGTTATTCGAAATAAAATTATTTTTTTGCAACAAGTATAATATTTCATTTTATATTATCAAATTAAGTAACTATAATTAATTATCTTAGATATAAAGGATACGTTTTTGTAGCAATTTTACATGAGATTGAGAGAAAAAACAAATACTGCTGTAAAAAAGTTAAATTCCTACAATATTTAGTCCCTTTAAACATTCTTTCCTGAACTTGATCTATAGATGAGTAAATATGTATATAGTTAATAAATTATCTGTCTAGTCTTTCGGGGATAAAATACTGACCACAAAATTATTTTGCTACTTTTACAATCGGCCGATTGTGAACTTGTTTATACCCAAGTGAAACGAGCCAATCCAAACTTTTCCAATATATAATATGTACTTATAAACATGTATTTATAGATTAATAATAATCACTATATCATCCGGGGAGACCTGGATAAATCCACGATCCATCCACATCCAGTTCCCATCACATTCTCACATGAAACTTCCCCGCTTTAGTAACGTACTTTACACCTTTGAATGGCTTGTATTTAGCTCCATACATGTCTAGGCGACTGACCCGTAGACCGCTCACGGCCAGTTGTGGGATCGTGAAATGCACGTTTATACTCGGATTCGCCCCAGATGTGTCAGCGCCGGAGGCTACCGAAATCTGTAATTGGTGTTATAATTATAGCTCTTAAGAAAGAACATTAGGCATTATAGTCACGTCCAACTAATTCACTTTCATATTTTGACGAACGTTTTTTATACTGACAGGAAAGTGATAACCATCGCCTGTAGACATGAACAACACGGTAACCACACAATATAGTGCAGATTCCGTGGTTGTTTTTTGTTTTTTGTTGGATGACTATGGAATGTATTTCCCGCCTGTGCTATCAGTATAATGTATAAACTGGCAGAGTACTAATATCTGTAAATTATATTCTTTGTCAAAATAAAAACCATACTTACAGTTCCTCTGATATTAGGCAACTTTGGTAGCTCTATTCTACCGATATCCCAAAGAAGTACTTTGCTTACAGGGTCATATGAATATTTTCCTTGATTTGCAGTTAATGAGCAATTCAGAACACATTTTGGCATACAGATTTCTAGCGCTACATCTGTGAACAATTGAATTTTCATCTATAGTCCTACTATAGCTCAAGTATAGACTTCTTACGGCGTCATACATTTGTACAATTATAATAACGCTACACAATAACCGGATGAAAAAAGTAATAATAAAGACAAGATCAGAGATTAAAAAGACAGCATTCACAATAGGTACATTTGTACATAGAGTTGATCGTCAAAAGTCAGTTTTTTTTTCAGATTAAACAGAAAGACGATATACTACACTAGATATATAATAGACGACAAACTCAGTACAAACTGTGCGACTATGTAAGTAATTGTAGTATGAAAAGTTTAAAATTTATTTTCATATATCCACTTTGTTTATTGGTGAAAGTGGTACCGTTTCATGAGCATTCTGCCTGGATTTCGGTCAGCCTTTGATTGACATGCATGGCAACAAAAAACACATGACATTTCTCTTACTTTCTAATATACGCCCCATAGTCTGCTTAGGTCCCACAGTCAAGTCCAACCTCCCTTGATCTCCATTATTTCTCAGTGCAAGACTATGTCGTACATATATCGGTATAGCCACTACGCTTTGCGAACCAATATGATAGGACATCAAACGAAAATTTCCATCTGGTGGAATAAACGATAAGATTCTTTCTGACTGAAAAAGAAAAGTATTGTAAACTTGCAGGTATAATGTAACAAAACAAACGTAAACATACTATATTATAAACATACATTACTTTATTTAAATTATTTATTCTTTATAAAACACAATAATAATATTTCAGAATGATACACACAGCATCTAGCCCACGCTAATCTGAACTTCTCTTATGATACCAGACATATATAGGTATATAGAAAACATACGATACAAATCATACTCCTGGATACAGATTTTTGTACCATGCGAAGAATCGAACTCACGAGCATCAGAAGCAAGCAAGCAAGGCGGCTAACCGTAAGACCATTGAGGCCGTCAATATTTATGTAAGTATAGCACATTATCAAATTCTTTACATATTGCAACTCCTGAGGAATTGCAATATATAAAGGATTTCATGAACATAATGTCTTGTGTTGGCATGAGCATTTCATGGTCTATAGACACCACTTTCCATTAATTTTTTTTTTATAACACAGGCAACTAACGAGCATGCGGCTCACCTGATGGTAAGTGATTACCGCCGCCCATGTGCACCCGCAACACCAGGGGAATTGCAAGTACGTTGTAGGCCTTTTAAAAAGGAATAAGCTCTTTCCTTGAAGGTTTCAATATCGTATCGGTTCGGAAATACCATTGCTGGAAGGTGATTCCACAATGTGGTTGTGCGAGGCAAAAAGTTTCCAGAAAACCGCACTGATCAGGATGGTATTTCAGTTTCTGGCGGGTGGTACGGTGGTGAAACTCAGCAGCTGGTATTAATCCGAACAATTCCTCAGAACACTCCCCGTGATATATGCGGTAGAAGAAAATGCACAGAGATGCAATATCTCGCCGCAAAGCCAATGGGTCGAGTCTGTCACATAGACGTTGATTACCAATGATTCTGGCTGCTCGGTTCTGAATGCGGTCAAATGGAAGTAGCTGGTATTGTGGTGTTCCCGCCCAGAGATGAGAACAGTATTCCATGTGCGGCCGGATCTGCGCCTTGTATAATTGCAAGCGGTGGGCCGCCGTGAAATACCGTCTCACTCTGCTGAGCACACCAAGCCTTTTTGAGGCTATTTTAGCCTTGTCCTCCAAATGACCGCAAAACTGAACGTCACTGTATATATCAACGCCAAGGACCTCGAGATTTGGCTTCACTTTGGAGAGTGTCTTGAAACTGAGGAGATACGATAAATGGATTCTTTTTAGCGGTAACATTTCTTTAACATTCGGATATATCCAAAAATTATGTTAAATGTTAAAGATTGAGAAAGTGTGACTTATGTAGACCTACAATTTGTGACATAACGTTTTCATTTTAGTATTAAAACAAAATTTTTACTACATTTATTTTAGGGATAGCCCCTTTCAAATCTAACAAAAAGACTACTTCAGATCTATCTAGCATGAAATTTGTTTATAATATAGATGATTATTTATGTACATAATATGATGATTTATACAATATGAATACACAAGTGCATTCTTGAAACAGAAATCTCTTACCTCCCAACGTTTAAATCTCACACACGGATGGAAAGACACATCATCAAATAATCGAGGATTTACAAATGTGAGTGTCAGATCAGGCATTCCACTTAATTTTATACAACAGTCGATCTGCAATTGTAATATGTATGACTATTAAAATTGTAAATAGTGACAAAACGGTTCATTACATTATTGATTCTTATTGCACTTTCATGTGTATATGATAAGTAATTATAAAAATTGATTCGATAAAATAGTCTTTAGAGCCTTACTTTCATACTTTAGCCAATTCAGATGAAATATTGATAGTGTATTAATATAGGCAATGTTAAATGTTAATAGCAGTACTGATATTCTCTCAATACTATGTGACCCCGCCTCCCTCCGATCGATGCCCCATCCAATTCCAACGGGGATCGAAATTACGACGGCCTGAGCCGAGGTTCGAATCCCTAGCGGTGCCCTCAGACTAAAGTCGTATCCGTCAGGCGGGAGTTGGCCTTCAGCCGCTACATAAATCCTTCCGCGAATTTGGAGTGCCATCTGCAGCCAACAACATTAGAATAGTCGAAAAAAAAATAGTGTGTAATTACATCGACACATTCACAATGAGTTTGTTTTTGCATATATCTTGTTTATGATAAATATGTAATTACATACATATCCCTGTATTTCAGCAGATACTGTTGCTCCACTTTTGTCAATTATCGCATCTACTTCCTCTATTACGTCGAAATATGCTTCATTGTTGGCATATTTAACTCCGGATCGCCGCCAAGGTACATTTGATAGCTGCCCTGATGGTAGTATTGACGAAACACTGAAAATATAACAAATTTAATTTTAATAGCGTTATGTATGCTGTTAAAAATACTAAATTTACTAACATACTAAACAAATGAATCCGATGAGATCATGAAATAAAGGATCACACGGAGGTTATATATTCCATTATTTTCAGATTTTGTATTGTAAAATTTAAATTAAATTTACAACTGTTCTGTTATATATGTAGGTTTTATTTTATGTATAATATCAAATATGTTATTCCACTCATCAATCTCAATCTTAATCAATATACATATATTTAAATTAATTTTTGTTTTCTTTACAGTTTGGTAGGTATCTTTTGATGTGAACATATAATATATTTATATTTCAAAACAAGGGAAGAATTGATTACATTAAATATGTTATGTAAATATAGAATGAGAATAATGACAGTGAGTTTCATCTACTTGTAAATATATTTGTAATACATACTTGGATTTCCCAGTAACTGTGTTTGCAATGGTTCTGAGAATGTTTGGAGGCTTTATTAACTCCTTTAATATGTTGCTCTCTGTTGCTAATGGGAAACCATTATCCAACATTTCATCTAGTAACTAAAAACAAAACAATGTTACTGTAAATTTGCTAGACTAATATATCTATGTAAAAAATAGTAGGATTTTAAATTAGTAACAAAATAAACAGAGGAAAATTCACACAGGGCCATCTAGTCCTATGGTAATAATACCATATCAGAAGCCAGAAGTCCTATGCTAAATAGAGCTTGTGTTATTAGTACTGGCCAATTAATAGAGATACTTAAATACTGTTTTTGTAAAGATATTTAATTCTTGCACAGAGAATTCTTGGTAGAAAACACCTAAACCAATACAAACAATTATACTCTTGAATACAAATAATTAAAAGATGAGGAACCAACCAGGGAACATTGACAAAGAAATGTGTTGAGCTGCTTGTTTACTAAGTCTATATTTAAATAAATAGATAACATATATAGTAATATTATAACCAATCAGAAATAATAATTTCAGAATATTACTTACCTCATAAACAACGACATAATTTTCTTTTATAATAGTCTCTGTGCAGTCTGAAAAGTAATCCTGCAAAGAAAATTGAATTAAATATAAATTAATATCTGCTCATAAGTTAATATAAATAATAACAAGTATGAATATAACCAAGTTTAATCATTAACTTGACATTAATTAAAAAGATATCCCTATATTCCCTGTAGCAATAGATATACTACACATATAATAAAGTACATGTATTTACAGAGAAAAGTAACTAATAAAAATATGCACTAGTTAGCATGATGTGATTCATCAAAGATAAACACAAACTGTATATACAAGTATATTGAGTACCACGTTTTATACCATAGATTATTCATAGAATTATTACAACTTACTTTTTGAAATAGAATGTGTGTATCAAAAAACTATTTTAACACCAATAAATGCAGATTACTTATCAAATAATGACACCTATGTGGCTGCAGTAAAATAGAAAGCTTATATTATAAATATGTAAAAAAGAAATATATTAATCACATAATAAATATATTATATACCAGATTTTTATTTTTTACATACCTGGAATGTATCAACAACTCTGTGCAAGAATTCAATAACAAATAGTGGTGATACTTCTTGCTTGCACACTGCCACCAGGGCTACACCACCTCTCTGTATAGAAATCAGATAATGGTGAGGAGCAGCCAAGACTGGAGGAACGTCCTGTAATAGATACAATATAAATTAATATAATTATTTATAGACATTCTAATGAAACCAGCAGATGTCATCGAAGAATGGAACAGTGAATCCAATTGTTTTATCTAACCATGCACAGAACTTTATACAACTTGTTCCAGCCCTTTAGAAGTTGGGATGAAGTTAGCAAATACTTGTATATAAGAATTATATGGTTATTTATATTTTTATATAAATAAGCATATACTACAATTTACATTGTGTCAAAATTGGAGACAAAATGTACACAACAATAACAATTAATAGAATGATGACATCACTTATTATTTTGTATTCATACAATAACCTAATTATTTATAATTTAATGTATTTTATCTACAGCATGTTAATTATAAATAGTAAATAAAAAATATAACTAATGAATGAATTCACATTCAAAATTAAATCAGTACAATGAAATCAATCCCTAATTAAATAACTCAATTTGTAGAAATAGTAGATTTTTTTATTTCACTGTATTGTATATAAGTAGACCATGTAGCACATAAATTATAACATCTTTATGGTTTGAATAGGAATGCTATTATAATGAAGTAGATTGAGTATTATTTAAAAACATTTGAATATTAAACTTATTGGAGTGTTTGCTGTATACTTACATTAGAAGCTCGCTGTGCTTCTAAATAATAATCACATACAGATCTTGGTATAACACTTCTCCAATGTTTCTCAAGAAAAACATCCCTGTAATTTGACACATATTATATATCTGTACAGTCGATAAAAGAAAATATATCACTTATCTTTACTACATTTAACGGGGATCAAACTATTTAACAAACGAATATTTTAAAAAATTGTAAAAATAGAAATAGACACACATTTATTACATTACTAAATTTGTAGAGGTATTTTGAAATTAATTTTAAACAATTGCAGTAATTAGAAAATTATTACTCACGTACCCAGAGGGATTTATAATAAATAGACTATGAATCATTATTGAAAAGTTACTTTCGAGTTTCAATATATTTTACAAAATTAAAAAATAATAAACAAAAATATTTGACATTTAGAGAAAGTACAGTCAATGTTGGCACTTTTGTTAGTTGTGTTATATGTGGTAAAAATTATTAGTTAGTTGCCATTCTTTTGTAGCAAGAAAGAGCCACATGAAATCTTGTCTGTTATTATAAGAGTATTCACGCTCTAAGGACTTCTATAGTTTAGACTCATGAGGTATAACCAAAGAATAATATTAGGTATTCTTCTTTGATCGTGACTGAAAGCAATAACTCCAGCCTATTGAATTGTTTTTGTTAGGATTGCCATGTAGTAGCACGAACTATAACAGTATGACCAGATTTAAATCCACAAACTTGCTAAACCGTCGATTATTACGTTTTCTTCCCTAAACTATACTGTGATCGCTACCTACTTCACATGCGAAACAACTTGCTTTGTAAGCTTTGTTTCGGTTGTAGCGTGTAGATTAGTTTATTATTTTCTTATGTTTACGTTTACATCTTACGTCTTTCTTTATATTCTTAAGGATAGCCTATATCTGTCTTCGTTGTACAGTTGTTATAATAAACAACGAAAACATAATAACATCCGTAGACAATTCTACAGTCCCGCATCTCGAGGGGTGGGCGGCAAGTTCTGGGGGCGTTCTGGAATTCGAAGTTGGCAGATGAATAGGTACCTACTTAGGTCCATATCTCATAAGTTAACGTACCTTTAAAAACTTGACCACTGAGACGTTAAGTAATTTTTTTGCCTTCAGTGCATTTGAAATATATATATTATAACTAGCTACTAGCACCGGCTTCGCCCGGCGTACATGTATCATATATATAAACCTTCCTCTAGAATCACTCTATCTATTAAAAAAAAACCGCTCCAAAATCCGTTGCGTAATTTTAAAGATTTAAGCATACATAACGACGGACAGACAGCGCCAACAACTTTGTTTTATACTATGTAATGATATTAATGATGAAGATGTAATTGTTAAAAAGACCAATAACTTATAGCAATACTAATTGAACAAATTGTATGTTAATATGTCGACGGACGTTAATAGCGGTTTAGCACATGCATTTACTTCCGATGGTCCCAGGTTCGATTCCTCGCGCAAGACAAACATTTGCATAAGATTATTATATGTATAATGTAAAAATGTTAACCGGAGTTTCTTTAGTTTTTGTATATAATGATCCGGGGCTGGCAAGCTTGTGGTACCATTTTAAATCCTGACCATGTAGGCCATGACTTAAAATGGTACCATATGGCATATTATTAGCAAAAGAGTCACTATTCCCCTTTACTAACAAACCTTAGGTTGACCTCGATGAAATTGCCCCTGGAAACCACTGACCTGATTTCATCATGGCCCACTGGTGCCCGGCCAGAGTAAATTGTTGCACAGGTGGGTGCATCATACCACTATCGTCATTAAAAAAACACACTATTGGAACATAAGGCTATGGAGGGGGGGAAATGGGATTGTCAGTAATGTGGCTTGATAATATTATTGCTAGCAATCTACCATGTCAGGTTGACCTCCATGCGGTTCCACCTGGAAACCATCCTGATAAATTCTTTGTCATTTATCATTATCATAAAAAAAAAACATAAGGCTCTGTGTTCAACCACTGCTGTCAGGGTGGTCCTTTCGTTTATAATCATTATAATATACCAGTGATATAAAATTGAATTTAGAACAAAAAAGTATACTTCGAAAGCAGAATACACTAACAATTACGGAACTATTTGTAAAACAGATGAAATGTAAATAATATAATGTATTCTACAAATTCAAATATTAGTATATAATTAGAGTAAGAGGCAAATTTCTATGCATTTTATGGATTTGTAGGGCAGATTTTAATAATTCAAAAATATTGAGCTTTGGCTGTAATGAGATACAAAAATGTGTAATACCTCAGGTAATACTAACATACAAATTTTATTCAGAACCCCCAAGTGTATCAATACCACTCAGTCTAACTGTGCAGTGTACACCATAGTTCACTAGATCATTTCAGTTACTATAGTGACCTGACACATTTATATATAGTTCCATATTACAAAAAATTATTTAACAATCACAATGTTCCTAGATTGATTGACATTTATAGTTTGTGAATTTACTGCCACAAACACACACATTACGAACTATTAACTTTGAAATTTCGAATTGATTTAAAAAAAAATTGAAATTAAAAGATACAAATCTGCTATTAATATAATTAGTCTAATGAAATTCATTATGAGCCTAATGAAATAGCAGAGTAAAAGTATTTAAATAAAATAAAACTCTTTTGTAATTTTGTTAGCCTTTAATTAAGACCCATCTTAATAGTACTTAACGGTTGGATTTAGCAACACGCTCCAACTCATCCTTCTTCTTGATAGCGTAAGAATTTGAAGAGCCTTTAGCAGCATTGATAAGCTCATCTGCAACACATTCTGCAATAGTCTTAATGTTTCTAAATGCAGCCTCACGAGCCCCAGTACACAATAACCAGATAGCCTGGTTCACACGTCGAAGTGGTGAGACATCCACAGCCTGACGGCGAACCGTACCAGCACGACCGATTCTAGTTGAGTCTTCACGAGGACCAGAATTTATGATAGCTGTCACCAGAACTTGTAATGGGTTCTCTCCAGTGAGAAGGTGGATAATCTCAAATGCGTGCTTAACAATGCGAACAGCCATGAGTTTCTTGCCGTTGTTACGTCCATGCATCATCAAAGAGTTGGTGAGACGCTCAACAATAGGGCACTGAGCTTTACGGAATCGTTTGTGCGCGTACCTACCAGCAGAATGAGGTAAATATTTAGCATATTTCTCCTTTACAGAAATGTAATCCTGGAGAGACATATCTGAAACCTGGACATCATAACAGCTCCATCGACCGAATAATTTAATTTCGGGAATATCGGCTGCCTGTGGCAGTGGCATGGATTCGACAGCCATGCTGCCAGACTCAATGTTATCATCATTCCAGTTTTCCTCCGCCATTGTTGAAGGCTAAAACGAACAATAATACTTTAGTACATCACAAACACTAATTAAATGATATAATTATTATATATTAACAACAACATACGTACTTTTCTATTACAAAATAGAAATTATAACCTCGTGCTGTCAAAAGAACACGACAAAAAGGAAGTAGTTCGAGTAGCGGCGATTTGGGACGGAATTTCATAACATTGTAATGTTGGCATTACTTTCTTTTTTTTTAATATAGTCTTTGATACTAGCTTGTTTGAACAGCAGTTATCACTGCTTAATTTAATTACTTAACTCTCTTTTATATAAAAATTACTACTACTATATACCACGAGTTAAATATTTTATATACTACCATATACTTTGAATAATAAATATGGGCAGTTCTTTTTATAATTGATAGTGTAGTTAAAAACACTAAAGTAATTTGAAAAAGTATTAATAAAATAAAAAGTATTCCATGACTAGCGTTTGTTGATTGTTGGAAAATTCAAATATCTATAATATTAAAAAGGAAGTTTATTGCTCATATAATTGAAGTGATACACTACCTATATCGAGTTCATAAAGACATCTTGACGTTCCCACCCCCCTCTTTCCCAACTATGGAATGTCAATGTGCTATGTAGGAAAAATTACGAAGTTCATGTAAATTAATTTAAGTCGTGACTTTTATTAACACAGATAAGATAATACTATATATATCACTGTTTTAAGATGATTGAAATAATCAAACATTCGATTATTGGGGTAAACTTACACAATTTTTATGGAAAAGAACTAGGTAACTTGGCAACACTGTGGCTGCTGTTTTCGGTTTATCTTTCTGTGTGTTCGATTGTGTACTAAAGTATAGTATGGTTCTGTCTATTTAAAATTGTGAATCTAAAAAAATTTTTTAATAAATTTACAAAAGTTTGCTGTGTAGGTTACGTATATTATTTCCATTTTTCTAGAAATTCCGTTACTGTTTAATAGGTAATTAAAATAGAATTTACTAAGCATTATCTCTATTAAACAGGTTAGAACTTAAAGAGAAGACGACTGTACAAAGTTCGCGATGGCTGCACTGAACAATATTAAGTATATTAAATTACTAACAGTGCTGCCATCAAAATATTGTCCACGTCTGAATTCGAGAAGAAATCTAAACCTACAAGAATATCACAGCAAAGATTTGTTAAGGCAAAATCAAGTTTCTATTCAAGACTTTGTAATTCTTGATAACTCTTTGGATACTAAAGCTCTCGCAGGTTTTAAAGCGAAGGAATACGTAATTAAAGCTCAGATCTTAGCTGGAGGCCGGGGCAAAGGTCATTTTGATAATGGTTTCAAGGGAGGAGTGCATCTGACTAAGAATCCTGATGATATTTTGAAATTAGCGAAAAATATGATTGGGCGTAAATTAATCACAAAACAGACTCCGAAAGACGGCATCCTTGTAGATAAGGTAATGGTAGCAGAGAGTGTTAATATTAAAAGAGAAACATATTTAAGTATTCTGATGGAGAGAAGTTACAATGGTGCAGCCTTGGTTGCATCCCCAGCTGGTGGTATGGACATAGAAGCTGTAGCTGAAAAAACTCCTCACTTATTGAAAACTATCCCCATTGATATTTATGAAGGTATCACGGACAGCATGGCTAATGAGGTTGCTGAATTTTTAGAATTTCAAGGTCCTTTGAAATCAAAATGTGCTGAAGAAATAAAGAAATTGTGGCAACTATTTTTGAAGGTAAATATTACATGTTACAAGTGCTAAATATAATTAATCTTCATATTAGTATGCACTGAGGATAATTCTCTAAAGATCTTCAGAATTAATGCCTAAATATAATTTATCTCTGATCAATCCCCTATAACATTCAAATTAATACAAATTATTATAACTTGAGTTAAACTTAAATTATTGTTCTACCCTTAGCAGAGCCTGCTGACATAAGTTATAGTCTGTCTGTCAAGTAGGTTTCTTTGAACTTGCTCCCAAATTCACACCATAAAGCTGTAGTCTAGTTGTAGCCAACAGCATTAGTGCATACACAGATGTAACTTAATATATAATTTGTCTTTTCTTTACTGTTTATTGTAAGTATATTCTATCCATCTTTAAAAATAAGACTTTATTTCGTCAAATAGAGGAAATCTATGTTTTTGTTTATAATAGTTGGTAATCATTTAGCTACCCCAATATATATAATTGGACATAGTAGGTATGGTTGTAATAAAAACAACAATTATCTTAATATTTGTGGATAACAGTGTTTATATTGCCACTTATATAAATATGTTACCAGCCTATCTACACCACCTTCTCTTAGATTATTTAATGTTATGTATAGTGTTAACAAAAAAATACTGCTTCATTGAAATATTAATGGCTACTAAACCAAAAGGAATGGGTTTCGTTTATGGTATAATATACTAAATGTGAAATGGTATTCTCCCATCACCATCACGCCTGTTATGTGTGTGTACACTTAACAGGCAATAAACTATATTGATGATTGTTATTAATGACACCTTACTCATGCATTTCTAATGCTAGCTACCAACATAAATTGGTACTTGATAATGGTAATACATGAGTTAGGATTAATTTCTAGCCTTTTTTACAAAGTTATCTATTTGGACATCTCTATCTCTACCTATTACAACAGCCATGCAGGTTACTTTGTAAACGCTGTAAGTGATGCTTGGTACTTCCCAGAATGTACTAACACTTACATATTTTTTTAAGTTTTCACCTTTCATAATGTTAAATAGTAATCAAATTTATTCAGCAGTACCTTTGTCTTGTGTGTGTCTTTCTGATCTGGTTCACATCTGATTCCAGGTTGATGCTACCCAGCTTGAAATCAACCCCTTAGTTGAAACTGATGATGGAAGAGTTGTTGCAGTTGATGCAAAAATAAATTTTGATGACAATGCGAAATTCAGACAAGAAGCCATATTTGCCCTTGATGATGTTTCAGAAACAGATCCTCGTGAAGTGAGTACTAAACAACTCATTATTATATTTATATTATGAACATCTTTGCAACAACCCTTAAGCAACAACAAGCCGTAAGAGTATTAAATGTTGTTTTGTATAAACAACATTTCATACTCTTACGGCTAAAGCTTGTGTGATATTTACTTTCTATCTCAGAATAGATTATTATTTTACATTGAATGTATCCTCTATGAAAAAGTTAACTTTCTTCTTTACTTCAAGTGTATTGTACTAAACATTCTTAATTTGTACTAATTTAATAAACTTGACTTGAGAAAAATACAAGAATATGTTCTAAATTGCAATGTTGGTACTCCTATCATTTCAGCCTGTGTTTATGCACTGTTGGATATAGGCCTTTTCTAATGTCTTCCACCATGTGCAATATTCCTTCTTCCGCATCCATCCACTCCCAGCCAGCTTCGTGATGTCGGTCCATCTTGCAGGAGGCGCCCGACACTCCGTCGACCCATATGCACCCCTCCATAACTTTTCTTCCCCATCTACATATCATTGCTGACTATGCTGATATTCCCGGCCCACTGCCACTACTTTGAGCTAGTTTATTAATAACTAGCTGACCTGTGTGACGTCATCCTTGTCACGTCATTTTCTTCATTTTTGCAACATTTTTCATTGCATCTCCGCTTCTATTAATCACAGCGTGATGTTACATAACTGGCCTATAGCCTCCTTAGATCCTCCTTGAAAGGCCTCAAATCAATCTGACTACCGGAAATTACGCCGAACATTAAAACTCATAAACTTTACCTCTTTATAATTTTTTTTAATGGATGTGTATGTAATGTCACTCACCTGCACTAAGGGTTTACGCTGGTGGGGCGTCAGAAATGATAAGATAATAATAATGCAATAGGGATTGTTAGCCCATTCTGGCGCTTACACTTGGTATTTATCACAATAGATTCCAGGTTGAACTGCATAGAGGTCAACCTGATATGATCCATTGCTAGCAATGGGGTCGTTACTAACAATCTAACAGGGAAAGTGTTCCCGTTTATAATATTAGTTATTAAGTAATTGATTTCTTTATGTCATTACTGTTTGCCTTTTGTTTTAGTTACCCTCAATGAATAGCTAGGATTAGTACCCATATATTAGGAACTCAGAAATATAACGAGATTAAAGAGGATACTTGTTTATAATAGCACGTTATGGATTTACCTATGACATCATAATCTATTTTTACCACTATCTATTTATTGCCTCCATATATCGTTCTGTACATTTTATCTCTTATGTTAAGTACCAATTCTGATAAAATTAATTTAGTAAGTACTGATATGTGTATATTTTGTTTAACTATAAATTAATGACATAATAGTTATCGTAATATAAGTGTTTGTTTTTTATATAAACAATCTCAATATATAAAAAAGGTACACAGGTTTTTATATTCTTTATATAATTACACAGACCAACAAAATATAAATAATAATATACCTACAAAAAATTTACGCCGGATTAACTATACGCGCACAGTATAAATAAATTAATTGGTGGCGATTTATCAACAAGGTTAATTCAGTTACCCATTGGCTACATATGTTAGCTGATAAATTATCATTATATTTTTCATATAAGTCCGCCCTTGCTCACGTTTTTGTATCTGTCTTTGTTTATTAATGTAATAATGCAATACAGTATTTATATAAATATTGCAAAGCACAAATTCCAAAACATTACATTTTGAAGCACAAGACGAATACGTTACAGAAAAAAACGGTTTCGCAATGGATATACGACTTCTAAAGTTGGGACTATTTAGAAATTTTGAATCTCCTTTTCAGACGTTTGTGCAAATGATTATATCATAATAACGAAATACATACTTATATTGGATTAATTTGTGATTTGTGAAATAATCAATTATATGTGGTATCTATAATATTTTTCAGAGAGAGGCTGCATCTTGGAACCTAGTTTATATTGACATGGATGGCAGCATTGGATGTATGGTTAACGGCGCTGGTCTGGCCATGGCTACAATGGATCTGATTAATTTGAATGGTGGAAGGCCTGCAAACTTCTTAGATCTGGGTGGTGGAGTCGGCCAGTCTCAAGTCTCAGCTGCTTTAAAGATACTCGAATCTGACCCCAAAGTGAAAACTGTATTTGTGAATGTGTTTGCTGGTGAGTATTTTTTTAAATAAAATGTCATATATATATAGGGTAATGGGATTGTTAGTAATGTGGACTAATTAACCCATTGCTAGTAATGTACCATGTTTCAAAAACGGTTCCCTCTGGAAACCATTGTGATACGTTTCTGGTCAATTTGTGAGAATGGGCTAACTGATCTGACACTCTCATCTTATCATTTCCCGCCATCGTAAACCGTTAGCGCAAGTGGGAGCGCTTTTACAATATAATCGATTAAAAAGTATATAAGACACTCAGATACGAACAATGAACATGCCAAGCAGTTAGATTTTGTATTATTTCATTATAAAATTAGAGTTCCGATCTGCCTCTGAAATGATAAACATGGATATGTGACGTCTGGTACTGTTAACATTAATATTTAACAAGTGCGACGTCATTACCATTCTCAATATATACTAAATACATTTTATGCTAAATGTATTCCATTACTTCTTTATGAAACACTGCACACTTTTGAAGAATTAAATATAGAAAAATTAAGTATGGATGTCACGCAAAAACTACTGACCTGATTTTGATTAAACTTTTCAGTAATGTAGCTTATATAGAATAACACATAGTTTATAGTTTTGAAATGTATATACTGAAATTTAACGCGGGTGAACCCGCAATCACAGATAGTGATAATACACTACAATTACGCTTGTCAGCTTTATAAATATAGTAGAAAAAATGACGTTAAAGTGACTTGATCTTTATTTGTTCTTTAATTATAGGTATCGTCAGCTGTGCTACTGTTGCTAGCGGAATAGTTGCAGCATGCAAGGAAAATCCTCCAAAATATCCACTAGTCATTAGACTGGAAGGTACCAATTCAGATATTGCGATGAAAATTCTAAAGGAATCGGGATTACCAATGACAATCATAAATGATGCTGACGAAGCAGCAAAAACAGCTGTCAAGCTAGCACAATAAAATATAAATAAAAATACTAAACTAGTTAGCTTAAGTCTAGTGTTGACAATCAATCAAAAAGATGTTGTACCAAAGACAGGTTTTAAAGGATACCAATCTGGTATAGTATACTATACTAGATTTTCTAGAGACTATATCCCTCCTAGAGGTTTCTATCAGTCGCGTGATTTGAATGAAATGTTAAGTAATTGAATGAAAGATTTTCAGGGCTACATATGAATTTAGGCTTGGTATTGTCATTGTAAAGGACCCCATATACCAATGTTACACATGTTGACTGTGTAACATTGGTATTATATTTAATAAGTTGAGTCATAAGAGAGTAGCAATATAAACTTTAATTTTGTGAGTGAACAATTATCATTATTGGCCAGTTATCCATAAAAAAGTAAATAATTACTATTTGTTATATTCATAATTTGTAAATAAAATCAAATATCTAATCTATATAATAAAAATTGGTGCTAATAGTATGCTAACTTAATTCGGTTCTAATGATCGGCTAATTATAGTCGACCCGACAGCAATTTACGTTAAAATAGTTCGCTGTTTTTCAATTTTATTATAGTACTTATTAACTTTTATTTGATACTTTGTGTGTCGAGACTGAATTCCGAATTATTTATAAAAATTGTTATCACACTAATTTGTTTTCAAAAAATGATAATATTGTATATATGAATAACAGTGCTTTATATAATGTAAATAAGTAAAAGATACAATTATTAGTTTTAGAAAATAAAACAAAATTTAAAAAAATGCATATTTTATTAACAATAAAATGCAGAACTATATTGAATTACTATAATTATGTAATAGATAAATTAAACACGGAATAAATTCAGCCTTCGCCCCTGGGGCGAGGCATCGCTACTGGTGAGAGACATGTTGGCTTGGATTTCCTCGAAAGTAGGTAAATGTGCTAACTTGCCGCGTGCAGCCACTGACGGCCGGCCGTTCAACATACGCCGCGCTACACGTACAATATCGTCTGCCGTTATCTTTTCTGAAATTAAAAACATTTTATTAATACCGAGGTGGACTTTGAACCGAATCGTGTGTGAGGTATCTTTTGTGCCTTACCCTCAAATTTCTCCTAAATACATGATTCTCAATTTTCTCCTAAATTAGAGCATGTAACTTTAATCCTCAATACTAGAAATGGATGTACGACATCATGATGTCACAGTAAAACTTAATATACACTTACCTATTTCATTGATGAAGAATGAAGGTGGTTTCCTCTTGCCTGTAGCTAGTACCTGACGGCCTACATCTTCAAACACTACCGGTCTTGCTTCCAGATTCATTAGCAACATTGATTGTAGCTGTGTTTTCGCTCTCTGTAAATATTTTGTTTTATTATAACTGATTTCTACAGACATATTATACCGGGAAACAAATTTATTCTACAAAAACAATTTACGTTTTTATAAAATGATGATCATTGGAAATCGGTCATGTTGAAGTTGAATTCTGGTATACTGAAGTTCCAAAGGAAACAATAAAATATTATCGACTTAGGCTTACCACACTAAATGAAAAATACTTTTATAACATAAATAATATTTGAAGGAACTTCATAACAGTGACAATAGTTCATAATTATTTAGAAATATGTGAAGACAAATTGGTTGTTTTGAACTGAATAAACAAAAAATACTTGGTATACATACCCTCAGTTCTACTTCGCCGACCTTCCCAGCCATGTTAGCAAGTTCACGGGCAATTACGATAGTGGTATCGTATAGACGATTCGGAGGCGATGCAGAGTGAACACAAAACAGACCAGTGTCACCGTAAGCGTGATTATACGCGGTTGCATTGAACATCCAGTGATATCTAAAACATATTATTTTTATACAAATTACAGTATATTAAACCACAAACCCTGGTCACACATTTTGGGTAAAAGTTGGAGGGGAAGTTAGAGCCAAAACGCAATTGATTTGGCAGGCTACGCCCCGCCCACTTTAAAAATGCGCCTTTTATACAGCGTCGTAGGAACTGTTTCTCCGAACTGATCTATCTATAGAACAGTACACGTACTGTTCTATGGATAGAATCAGGGGCCAATTCGTATAAAAGATGTTACAAGTGTTTCATAACATAAGAAAACACACCAAATGATTATGGCTATGGTGATAGATTTTTACAGGAAAACGTGTTTATAATCAACCCCTTATGAAAGAAAAGCAGTAATACATCAATAGCTTGTTATTTCTTTGGAGAATGATGTTGTATAATAATTATTATGAGATGTGTTACCTGTAGGTAGCTTTGTGTGTATTTACCTATTCAATACATTTGTGTATAGGCGAGTATACATTCCCTTGCCTGGTCCGCCTGCCGAGAACGATCCACCTCCGCCCATCATCATATTCAACACACAGGTAGGTACAAAATCTGGATCGCTGTGAGAACAACCTGCAATAACAAATTAGTAGTTGCATTTTATCATCACTATTGTTGTAAAATACCATTATAATACCAAAATTGTTCATAGTAAAAAAAATCAAAACATCCAATAATAAAAAAAAATACTCACTTTCTAAACCAATTACTACATGAGACAATTCAGGTAAATCAGATCCTGGGTACAAAGGGATTTCACATTCTTCCTGAAAATAATCCATTCAATTTTATTTCAATATATATTTACTATAGTATAAAACATTAGTGATAAATAAAACTTAATGACAATAACCTGTTCTAACCCTCCAGTGTATTGTGCAATAGACTTATCAATGGCCGGCGTAAATGGACTGCTATCTTCAGAGTGCCATGTTGGTTTCATATCAACAAAATATTTCTGAACAAACTCCACAAACGGTTCATGATCAACCTGAAACGTTGAAATGCACTATTGTTCGTAAAATCATATATGAAGCAGAAACATACAATTGTATTAACATTTGATGCTTTTTGTTGGTGACATTTAAATCTTTACAACTATCTTATATATAAAATTCTCGTGTCACAGTTTTCGTTCCCATACTCGTTCGAAACGGCTTGACCAATTCTCATGAAATTTTGTGAGTAGGTCTGAGAATCGGCCAACATCTATTTTTCATCCCCCTAAATTTTTTTTTATTTTAAGGCAAAACAACGTTTGCCGGGACAGCTAGTATTATATATATCTTTGCAATTAAGAGTTACAAATTTCTCTTTTGTACCAAAATTCGAACAAAACATTTGAAAACATACAGCATAAAGAAAAACAGAATATAAAATTAAGTACCCCAACTGCCGCAACCACCATTCTGTCAGGTGTGTAGTGGTTTTTTAAATAATTTAAAATTATGCCTCGATTTATTTTATTAACATTTTCTGGTGGGCAAATTTTCGGTAGTCCAAGAGTATTTCCTTTATAGGCTGCCTGCAAATAATAATAAATTAATTATGTTTAACATTTATAAGTATATAGCAGAAAACATTAAATATACACTACAAAGGATTACTGACAGCATGTATCATGTCCATTAATATTGTTTCCTGTTCTGGTCTCATGGATAGAGTGTCTAATTCGAAAGCAACAGCTTGCCTCGCTGCTTCTATTTCTTCTGTGGATAGCTGTGGCCTTAAAGTTACTTCAGCTAAAACCTGAAATATGAAATAAAAAAATATTTAAGCAATTTAACATACCATAACAGAGTATATTATAGAGACTAGACTATACTACATAGACTAATATTATTTTGGACTGACTAATTAGAAAAATGTAGTTTTAAATTCTATTCTAAAATCTTTAAATAAAGTAATAATCACAGATTTCTATTATTATTAAAAAAACTATCCAAAGAATTCTAGACTATGATATTACCACTGATATAAAGATTGTAATTATTAATATAATGTAATTATTCATATTAATAATGATTAGATTTATATGTGCTTAATATTTTTTTTACTATACAATTTACATCCTCATCCTTACTCCATTTCCAGTCAACCTGTGTGTTATTTGTAAATATTGGGAGTGCCTAAATAATATTATGATGGTAAATATCATGGTTAGGAAAGTGTTGGACAGAGGAAGCTAGAGTATTTTGGAGGAGGCCTATGTCTTAGGACAAGCTGGTGAACCTAGGCAGGGAAATAATAAATAAACAAAACCAACTCTAACTTATCAGCACAAAGGCTATAAATGAATAAAAATATCATATTTATATAATCTGCACAGTTACAGCACTAACAATAAACTGAAGAATTAGTTTTGTTACCTGTGTAACGGCATCCAGGCCTCGAGAGTCAGCACTAGTAGCATAAACTGTAGTATCCCGGGAGCCCTGACAATCGCATATGCCGCCATGTCTCTCAAGCTCTCTAAGCATAACATCACGAGTGGCATATTTATGGGTAGCCTGTAATAGAATAGTATTTTTGTTTTCAAATACAATAGATTTTTTTTAATATTTCAGTTACCCAAATAAAATATCATGGTTATAACTAAAATGTCTTAGCACCACAGTAATGTTGTTACTGATAACACCAGAGAAATTCATATTAATGTTTCCAATTAAAGGCTAGTCCTTTAATTTTTTGAAAGGATATTAAATAATAATAAAATCATTAATACTTACTCCAAAGCTTAACTTTTCGAGAAAGTGACAAATACCATTTGGGTATGCTACTTCATATCTTGGTCCAGAATCAATGACAACTGTAAATAAATCAAATAGTTCATAATCAATTTGAATTGTGAAAGATTTTGTTATTTTTATTTATCTTTTTTAACAGTGTTTATTCTTGTCTACCATTTATCTGTCTTTGCCTTCACAATATATTTATAAGCAGTTGTTCCAATTAAGCTGAAATTTTGCAGATTTTTAAGTAGTAAGCGGTTTTACTCATTTTTTTTAAGTCATCTGTGCAAGTATCTATATATCACCTATTTCACCAAGCAGTCTCCTACTGAAATATATGTGTTATAGAGTAGGCTTATAACATATATATTTCAATTCAAGACTGAAATAAAGTAATGACTATTATAAGTTAAGAGGCTTCAGGAGAATGGCCAAGCATGCTTAGTGCCACAATCAGTACATGATAATATTGTCTATGGTGCTGATTATGACCATATGTGCCAATTAATGCATACCATCAGGTGAGCCATCAGCATGTTTGTAATTTCAAATACATAAAAAAAGTTTTATGATGATACTGTTACATGTTTCATAATAATGTTAATGTAACAATAGAACTGGTCAGCAGATGGAACAGGAATAATTAAATATTTCAATTTATGCCTTAAAATTAATGAGTTATACTATACTAATAAAAAAGTACACTCACCACCAGCAGTACAGAACTGTCCAAATTTTTTTTCAGATGCAACACGCAATCCATTGCTTAGGGTTGTAACTTCAGTGAAGTAATCTTCTGATTTAGCAGAAGCATACAAAACCGGCGGTAGGTTTGAAATTGGCTCAGACAGTGGTGGTAGAGGAGTCACACTGCCCTTACATAAAGCCTGAGCTGATTTGTCAATGTCCTGGCTAAATTTTCTAATACCCCATCTAGGGTTATTAACTCTGAAAATATGAATAATTCATATAAAATAAAATAAATGTGTACAAAGGCATAAAGGTTAGGATAAGGTAACGCCAAGCTAATATCCAGAATAATCCTATACAAACAACTTCAACCTTTTCAATTGAAATTTCATTTTTTGAGTAAAAATCTGAATACATATTTTCAACTGTGAGGTTGTATGATAGTTTTAAACATTAACTAATATTTTTCCCTTTACTTGTTTAGGGAAATTTCATGAATAAAATCTATCATCTTAATGACTAGAAAATCTTAATTAAGGCATAACTTGAATGGACAGTACTTCAAGATATCCACTAACTGTTTTTATAGTGATAAGTGTGGCCCACCTCAAATTTTTTTTTTTGGACCATGTTTTTAATTTTTTATGATGTGACATTAAAAACATATGCACCGTTTTACCATAACCAGTATTTGTTTGCAGCAATATTAGTACTTTAATTTATATGGCAAAACAATGTTTGTTTGTCTTGTATATAAGTTATTCAAAATAAAGTTTGTTTTTAAATATTTATAGGAATGTTAGATAGACCTCCTTCTGAACCTAAATCGAGACTTCCTCTCAAACAAAATAGAGAGTTCTCTAATAAACAATTAAAATCAGAATCCTTATTATGTGATTCATTTAGAACATTTAAGATGTTAAATAACTTTTACAAAACCGGATATAAAATATAAATAGTAGATATATATAAATAGTAATACAGAAAAGTAACAAGCAAAATGTACTGAATTATTAATAAAAAAAATCAATTTGCGGTCTTACCCATTTTTTAGAGAAAATAACCTAGAAAAAAGAAATTTTACATCCGTTACGTGTGACATACTTAATATTATTTAGCGAAGAAAAAACACAGAATATGAATTATGTTCTTTAAATCGCATAAGTACAAATATTTATGGCAATAAAATTAAAATATAGAAAGATTTTCTTAAAATTGTTCTAATTTTTTCCATTCAATAATCAAAAATATTCAAAAGTCTTAGTTAGATCTAAATGACTGACATTTTAACTGACAGTTAATACCTTTTTTTAATTGACATTTCATGACCTTGGCTACTTCATACCATACTGTACGCATGTACCATACTGTTTTTTTTTGAGGGTTTATAATGGAATGGTGCACCCGCCGAGCACCAGTGGAGGATGATAAGATGAGCATGAAGTCAGGGCAGTTAGCCCATCGTGACAAATTCACCAGGAAATTAACACGATGGGTTCCAGGGGGAACCGCGTGGAGGTCGACCTGACAAGATACATTGCTAGCAATGGGGTTATCAATCCACATTACCAACAATCCCCTTCCCCTCATACCATTGTACCATACTGTTATAGCTAGGTACTTATAATAAACATGCATAATTTTTAAATTGAAATCCTGTGCGTACGTGGTTACTTCGTACTTATATTTTATAATATAATATAAGTATAAATCTGTCATGAAATAATAAATACAATGTTTGTCTTATTTTATCCTTGCATCAGTGAGAATTTATATGTATTATCCATACAGAATTTAACTTTTAATTTTATGTAAAACAGTATTGAATCAATACAAGAAGGACACCAATATGTTCCTGTAATACTGATACTGTTAGTGCAATAATATTGAATACATCTCTATTCTTTTTTAAAATAATTCTTTATTCATACCTTGAGTTAAACACACGTTTGTGTACATATATCATAAAAATTTAGACAAATACAAAGCTTATAGATATATTACAATTTTACAATTTCAGTAATAATATTTTTTTTTCATAGTATGTACAATGTAATTAAATATTAGAAAAAAATATGCAAAGTGAGATAGTAAATCATGAACGCATCTCTATTTTGACTCTCATTTTGTCAAATGCCAAAATGTCAAATTGTCAATCAGAGATATGTAAATATTTCATTTAAATCTTAGACTTTATCATATTTATCATTGAATACAGTGGTTGAATATAAATTATGTAGACTAAGATATGTCGATAGATCGATAGAGATTATAATAATTTTAAATAAAAAACATGTAAATTAATCTATACCAGCTTTAACTTTTGGGTTTATATAGCGTAAATTACACTTGAGGGAACGGTAACATGAATTTTATAAAAATTTGTACTCGTAATTTCACATCTAATCAAAACATTCCTCGAGTGTGTATAGTTGGGGCTGGTCCTGCAGGTTTTTATGCAGCTATGCACTTAACTAAGTATCTTAAAACAGTTAACGTAGACATAATCGAGAAGCTTCCCGTTCCTTTTGGTTTAATAAGGTAATACTTTCTCTTACTATATTGTACGTACTCCTTTTTAATTTTACATTGTACCTTAATCAATTTTTATACACAAGTTTAATGTATTAACTATAGTATTGTGTTCTCACTTAAGGTATGGAGTAGCACCAGATCACCCTGAAGTAAAAAATGTTATAAATCAATTTACTAAAGTTGCTCAGCAGCCTAATGTAAATTTTTATGGCAATATTTCTTTGGGGAAAGATGTTAAAATTAGTGACCTTCGACAACACTACCATGCTGTACTACTGGTAAATGTTATACCTTTATACACATATATAGAAATAAAATTAAATTAGTGAAGGTTAAAAACTTGTCTATTTTGCACACAATACATACATAAACATAGTTCCATACCATTTATTGTCTTTATGAAACTCAATGAATTGTTTCTTGTGCAATATATGCCTAATGAAGTAAAGAAGAAAAACCTTAGTTAATTTAATAGTTATATCAATATTACTCACTGATATTGAACTTTTTTAAACATTTAATTTTTGTTCATACAGACATATGGTGCAGAAGAGGACAGATCTCTAGGTATAGAAAATGAAGATGCTGCAAACATAGTGGCAGCTCGCAGATTTGTTGGATGGTATAATGGCCTACCCAGTGATAAAGATTTAAAGGTTTGAAATGTTTATTGCAATCATAATAATACTATCTATTGTATTGATAGTAAATTGATTTATATCAGTAGTTGAATAGACTGGATAGGATGTTAAAATTACATTTGGTAATGCTACAATTTAACAAAGTTGAGAAATGTTTCAGTCATTCTTATCCAATTAACCAAATCCACACATCAGTTCTAAATAAATGAACTAGGTAATAAACAATTATCCATGAACATTTTTTTAGATTGATTTATCTGGCACTACTGCTGCTATTCTTGGACAGGGGAATGTTGCATTAGATGTAGCAAGGATATTATTAACCCCTATAGATGAACTAAAGAAGACTGATATCACAGAGCATGCACTAAACACTTTAGCAGAATCTAAAATTAAAGAGCTCTATTTGGTTGGAAGAAGAGGCCCATTGCAAGTGGCTTTTACTATTAAAGAACTCCGTGAGCAGTTAAAATTAAGCAACTGTCAAACAGTTTGGAGAAAAACAGATTTTGAGGGTCTAGGAAATATTGTTAATGATTTACCTAGACCTAGGAAAAGGTTAACAGAACTTATGTTGAAATCTGTAAGTGAATTCGAAGACACATCTATTAATGATAATAACAAATTATTTAAACCAATATTTTTCAGAACACCTAATAAATTTTTAGTTAATAATGACCGAAAAATTATGGGAATTGAACTCACTTGTAATGAACTTCAGGGAACTAAATTAGAAGAGCAGAAGTGTGTGCCTACAAGCAACAGTGAAATTTTGAACTGTAGTTTAGCATTCAGAAGTATTGGATATAAATGTGTCAAAGCCGATAATGATATAATATTTAATTCTAAAGGGTTGGTGGCAAATAATAAAGGTGTTGTAGATAATAATTCCGATACATTGGCAAAAGTCTATGTTGCTGGCTGGCTTGGAACTGGTCCAGTTGGGGTGATATTACATACAATGGGTAATGCTTTTCAAGTAGCAAAAGTCATGTGTGATGACTTAAAAAATATAAGTAGCTTTAGCAGTAAAAGTGGTTTTGAAGAAATTGAAAATACCTATTTAAAAAGTAACAATCCTATTATAAATTGGGAAGGTTGGGAAAAAATTGATAAATATGAAGTAGAACAGGGTAAACTGAGAAATAAACCAAGGGAAAAGGTGTGCAGTATAGAAAAAATGATAAATATTGCTGTAAGTTAAATACACTATACACACACACATACCATAGATCTAATCTAATTATGCAGATATCGCTGCTATTTTATGGAGTGAAAAATTGTATTTTTATATTGAATTAAAAATCCTATTGATATACATCTTGTTCTTATTTTAATTGACAGATAAAGATAACAGACATGGTTACTGAAAATAAATTATTTGAAATTTTTTGCATTATTTTCCTAAACACGTTACAAAGTTCCAAACGTTTAAATATATTTTTTTGGTTTCGATTCCTAAAGGTATTTTTTTATTTAAGCAGTATGTTTAATTAAAAATATGAATAATGATTTGATTATTCAAATATCTATATTTTTTTACGAATATTTTAGTCGATTTACCTACATTCGCTCATGGTATTCTATTTTGAGATTATAAGATTTAACTAATTAAAAAAATAATGATTTTTTTTATTAAATTCGATTTTATAGAATTCCTTCCGTTTTTTTTATTCCTCATGAGTATTTCGTTATGTCTGCCATAAGAGAAAAAAAACGTTTTCGACGCTGGCAATATTACTTTAAGAAATGTCAGATTGACATAATTAGTTACTTATTAGCAAAACTTTCCCAAAAAAATCGATTTAACTAACTGATGACTCGCTACATTTAAAATATACACATAGTCCATTTTATGAAAAGCAAGATATATACGAAAATAAATCACCTCTTATCATTAAATTCAGGGAAGTCAACAATAACAATTATTATATTAAGTATCAGGTATAAAGGAAAACGTCTATTTCACTAAATAAATGTATTTGTTAAATTAAAAAGTTAAGAAAATAGATAATAGTTCCCAATTCCCAATAAGCAAAAAGAAAACATCGATTGTCAATTTTTAAGCGTACAATCAATTCAGTACTACGTAACAATTAAAAAAATCGTTTATAGTGCCCTTTTAATCGATTCTTTGATTTGATCTAACTTTGGCAACCCTAATCTGTGGTGTCAAATAAAAATAATTCTAACCTCTCACGGTAGACAGAATGTTTATTTTCTTTATCTAAATTTATTGGTAGTTATCGTTCTAATACTTGAAAAAAAACTAATTTAAGTATGTAAAAATAGATAAGTATCTTATTCTGTAATTTTTAAATATAACGACGCTAATAACTGTATATTCTCCTAAGCTCACCATGATGGCAAATGATATTATTAAAATTGGTGATTACATTGTAATTAAAAAACAAAATTATAGAAAATTACATAAATTAAATAAACCTAATTCCACTATAATGTTAGGACGTGATAGCATCAATCTTAGTGGAGTTGAAAACTGTCCCTATTATTCTGTTTTCAAAATGATTTTATCTGGAAACAAAAAGAGTAAAGAATATAGCTTAGAATTGACTGATAAAGCAATTAACTTAAAGGATGAAATCGGCGTAAAAATATCTGGTAATGATAACAGAAATATTGTAGATGATGGCCGATCACAAAAGTTGACTGCTACAGAAATAGAAGATTTAAGAGTTGATGCTTATAAAGCATCTGACATTGTCGAGACATTAATAACAAATTCCAGTACATTCCACAACAAAACAGAATTTTCACAAGATAAATATTTGAAAAAGAAAGAAAAGAAATACTTTGAATACATTCAGATTTTGCAGCCAAACTTAAGAATTGTTGCAGAAATAATGTATAAGTTAGATCCAAATAAAATCCAGGGTATTCGTATTGATACTCTATCACAAGTAATGTCATTTGCTAATGTATATTCTGAAGGAGTTCATTTGCTGTATGACTCAGGTTCTAATGGTCTTATGGCAGCTGCTTTATTGAGTGCCATTGGGACTGGCACATCTGGTAAACTTTTACACATGCATCCAGGCAACATGTCACAGAAGCAAGCATTACTAGCAATGAATTTTGAAGCAGATCATTTAAATAGATGTATTTCTGTAAATGTTTATTCAGCATTGAGACAGTTTTACCAGGGATGTGACACTAATGATACACCATCTGAAAATAAAAGTAGTACTTTAAAAAGGAAAAATGTTGATGATACAGAAACTGACCATAAAATTAAGGTGCCAAGATTGAAAAACGATATAACAGAGGATGGTATATTAAGTGTAGATTGTCATGATAACTCGGAGCAAACACAATCTGAACCAAAGTTACCAAAATGGCATTTTGATAACATAGCTGCATCTCAATTGATGAAGAATAAAGTAGATTCATTAGTAATCACTTGCAAGGAGGATCCTCATAATATATTTAAGGAGCTGATGGAATTTGTGAAACCTGGTCGACCTTTTGTAATTTATTATCCAGTTGCAGAACCCTTGCAGCAGTCTTACTTGAAACTAAGATCATTTAGCAATGTAGCTGCCCTTCAAATTACAAATAACTGGATGAGAAATTATCAGGTTAGTGGCACTAGGGGCAATGGTTTACCTTCTTTTGTAATTTAACATGAGATTGCCTATCCACAATATTTCTTTCATCTGCCCCATCAAATATTCATACCATCTCTGTTCTAGTTAATTACTGCCAGTAGTATAATTATACAATATAATTTGGAAAATGAAAAAAAAAGCTAATTTCTTAAAAAAAAATAAAAGAATTACAATAACACAGTGCTGGAATGACCTAGTAATCATATATTTATATTATACAGATAAAGTAATGGTTTGCAAGTCTTACTATAGAGTCAAGTTTCTAGACTAATTTAATATTGACCCAGTGTTTTCTGCTAAAGGTTTTCATTGATCAACATTCTTCAACATATATGATAGAGACATTTAGGCGACTGATTCTGATTACATATAGGCATGACAACCTCTTATGCATAAAAACTAAAATCTATAGAATTATTTTAAAGTTTCAAACTTATTTTAAGCTATTAAAAATGGTCGGAAAAGTGTAATATAGCTAAACTAGGTTTGTATCAGATAAATTTATTTTATTTGTTGATGTTTTCGAACATGATGATTACTTATTCCAATAATATTTAACTTCTTATTAGATAAGAAGTAAGCTCATTATGAATATATTATTTAAAATTTTTCAGGTATTACCAGAGAGGACACATCCGGAAGTAATGATGAATGGATCAAGTGGATTTTTATTGACAGGATATATACTAAAATAATTTTTCTTAAATATTTGGAAGGACAATTATTTTAGTATATATAGTAGAAATATGTTGATTTTAATTTTTATTTATATGATAAAGAATGAAATATACAGTTTTTTACAAATTTATTTTTCCTTTACTCAAATGCACATACCATATTCTAAATGCATTATAAAATTTTATGAACAGTGTGATTGACATGGTGTCTTATTACTATAAAGAAAACCAGTTCTTCTAATGAAAATGTTACAGATGTAATGGGAGAACTACACACACTAAGCAAAATTTGATACATTTCTTTTATAACAGTATGTATAGTATCTTATGCTTTATATTTCGTTGTAATAACACATTCATAAATTGTTTCTTTACATTATTGCATCATATTAGAATTTCATATTCACATAAAATTGTCAAAGATTTTATAAAAACATTCGAAATATCATCTATATCATTTATAGCATCCATAGTAGTAAAATTGACAATACAAACTACTTATATTAAATAGTCTTTCCAGATTTACACAATTTGTTTTTAATATTACAGTATAAAAACATGTTCTCAGTTTAATGAGTAGGACCATATTATGTACTTTTGGAATCTGTGAGGAATGTAAATCAGTCTAATACATGGGTTGTATTTCATGTTTTAGAAACAATAGCTCCATCTGTGCTCAAACACATAGAAGTAAAGTGAGTTCTCTGTTTCTTCTGATACCTTTCGAGTATAGAGAGCTGAGATCTGCAAATTTCATAGTGAAACTGGACGGCATAATAACTATTTTATAATTCTTCAATCATAGTAAATTTAGTTTTGACATACTAATATTGCTATTAAAAAATAGGGGATGATGGCAGAAGGGTGAACATTTAGAGTTATGTATTTTATAATGCAAAGTCATAAAAAAGTAAAATAAATATTTTGCGCTGTAGTCTTAGGTGAGAACATACTTTCTCCATTAGAGTATGATCACCTTAATAAAAATTAAATCAATTATGTGAATATTTTCAGTGTTTGAACTCATATGGAGCATTTCAATAAGCAAAATAATTATATACTAAGTACACATAATTAACTATTTGAAAGGAACATTATTAAAAACAATATGAACATATTGAATGATATGAAAATATTTTGGCACTTACATGGTGTTCAGTGTGCATGATTATAATAAACAATATACAATATCCCTAAACATACAATTCCCAACCCATGGGATAATTAATATTATTTTATTTTCGAATAGATGTAGTGACTGTTAATGTGATATCATAAATTCACAAAAATGAATGTAATAATTTTTAATCTCGACAAACTTATTTTCACTGCTTCTACAAGCACCGTATCAAAAGCACCTATATTGTCACTACATCACTGTAATAAATTCTAATGTCACTATAAAGTTAGTAAGAAACAATTTGAACATTATTTATAAAACTGTCAATCGTCAATATAGAAAGTAACTGGTATAAATAACTCTATTGAACGGTGGATATAATTAGTACTTTAAATGCAGCCATAATGGAAATGCGAGTGGTATGGTTACAATGGAAGCAACAGCGATTGATACATGCCTATAAGCAATTCATATGATACAAAAACTATTTTATGATTGCGCATTACACTTGTAAATATGAATTCATTAAAATAATTAAATAACATATATTACTCATATATTACAGAATATTATCATAAAATAAAAACATTTGTTTATAAATATTATAATTTCTTTAGACCTAAAGTATTCATACCTAAAACTGAAAAGATAACAAATTATAAACGAAGTATAGGGAGATCTTTCGAAATTGCGAGAATAATGTACGAATTTATAAATCATATTGTACTTACTGGCTGATAGCTGAATGGGAAATAAAACACAAATAATACTAAAGTAGCTTATCAGCCTTAAAGTGATCGATAATAATTATATCGGGCGAATAAAATATTAAAGGATTGACTTCCTTTGGGCGCTGTAGCATGGTGCCGGTGACAGATTTGACATTATAGAAGTTTAGTTTAGTGAGATTATTCAAGTCAATCTAACAGTCATCTAGCATTTTCGGCAATTCATTTGCTGAATATGACAACTACCAGCTACACCATGCGGTACAGGTAGGGTATAACTTGGAGAAGTCTAGGTTGAAATATTAATAAATCATCAAACTGTAGATTTTTGAACCCACTTAAAGTTTTTTATAATAATATATTTCAATTAATTTGTTGCCCAATTAACTTACAATCCTATAGTAATACACTAGATTTTAATGATCCTTATCTAATGTAGGATGGAACAATCATTTAATCCCGTTTGGAAAATTATTTCCAGGTGCCTTAAATCTGTTGTATCGAAATACGAAAATTAAACAATTATATGCACTGGAGTTCGCGATTTGAAAGTAACTGAAGGTATAAATACCACGAACACTGCACATGCAATACGGTTGTTTAAGGAATATGTTAAATTTAAGCTTTGGTATTGGTGTTAATGTGTTGAAAGGCATACACTGCTGCATCGCCCAGCACTAGGCGCTAAAGCTACAGCGCGGGCTGAGGCATAGGCGGGTGCGAGTGGCGGCCACGTGGCGGCGTCGTCACGACCGAGTGGCCGCATACTTTTCGCACAGCTATGAGGAATCCTCGTCGTACCATGTACGGAAGTCACAGCTCTCATCATAGTCATCCTGAAATGAATCCCAACATTATTGTTTTATTTTTTCAGAAGCATTATAATATCACACATATACTGATAATATTTTGTAGCTAGCAAGACTTAGTCTAGTGTCTTAATAACAGAAAATATAACAGCCAGTCTTCCAGAAATAACATTATTCTGTGAGTTTTTATGAGGAATCTATGAGAATGTTAGTGGATAGTTGTAAAAAAAACCGCCAGAAAAAGTATTTTTTACTTACCGCCATCCAGGCGTGATCGAGGACGTCTTCGGCAGCAAAGCGCAATTCCGGTTGCGGTCGAAGCATGTTCGCCACCAAATCAATAGCACCAGCTGACACCCGCTCCCAGTGCGGTGCGGGAAACTCAAGTCGTGCCGATAAAATGGCATCAAATAACTTTTCTTGGTCACCGTCAGGAGACGAGAATGGAGGGAATCCACAGAGCAGTATGTACAGTATAACACCAGCGGCCCATACATCAATCTGAAAATAAATGTCGCTATTACACCAAGGTCACTTATTGTTTAAAAATTCATGTTCGTGAAATAATAACGTTAAGCATAAACATTCTAATAGATGCTATGAGAACTGGTAGTATTGCATAATTTGTAACAAAAAATAATAAGACCTGGTAATCTGGTTTCAAACGAAAGTGAATTTCGTGGGAAAGTTTTTTACGACGTTGTCATTATATTGTAGTTATTTTTCAAATACAACAGGTTAATAACTTTCAAATACTTTTTTAAAATGTCCTAACCTATTTATTTAAGAAATAATGAGCACGCGTCTTCACTTCGTGAACTTCAATTATTTATATTATTGTTGTTGTATGCTGATGTACGTAACCAACAATATAAGTCAAGCAATATTAATTTAACAATAGTTTATTTGTAAGTATTAAAGTTGTATTTCGTTTATATTTACCTTTAGTCCATATCCTGTCTCTAATAAAATCTCGGGAGCTACGTAAGTAGGTGTACCGCATACGGCGTGTAAAGGTCGCCAAACTTCCACTGCTAGGCCGAAGTCAGCCAGCTTCAATCCACGTATACAGCCATCCGAGCCTACTTCCACCTAAAATTCAATACAGCATTTTCATTAACACAGTAGTACATTTCCAATGCAATATATTTCGGTTATTCGGATATTATGGTTACAACGGAGCATGTATAAAATATTTTTGTTTATTAAGATATCCATTGTGAACAAAGAGAAAGAATAACGTAATATAAATCACTAAAATCAGATGAATGTGACGATTTATGAACTAAACCCAGCTCCAGTGGACTGTTGGTCATCTTTATTCCGATGAATATTTCTATATATTGAAATTAATTAAATTGTTTCTTTTAAACAAGCGTACACCAAGAGGAGAAAAATTTGATCATGTTTACCAATGTTATAACATTGGTAATATACGACAGTTTTTTTTATTCTTAGTACTTTAAATGCTTAAATCACAGTTACTTTACATTTTGCTTAATATTAATATAGTAGTAGGTATGAACAATAACATAGGGTTATTTTTATACGGGCAGTGGATTGTTATAGAGCGCAGAAAATCTTATTGAATATAGTAAAAAAATATACTTTTATTATTATATCCACCTCACACCATGTCCGAAAAGGACTGCTTACGACTTTCGAATGGTAACTATGCTATCATAGTGCACTACTGTGATAAAAGTATACGAGTACAAATGTATAAATTAACCTGTTTAGTTTTTTATGCAGAATATATATATATATTTATTTACTTATGACTTTTTATTGCACCTTAAAAAAATACAAAACAAAACAATTCATGGTATCTAGATACAAAAGGCGGTCTTATGGCTTAAGCGATCTCGAAATTATTTTTAGAATAAATTATTTAGTTTCAAATTTTGAATTCAATATGTAACTGTTAACTAGTAAAACATGATACAAATAGAGAAGTACATACTTAAGCTGATTTTGATTACTGTAATCCTTTGGTGTATACTAAAATGTAAACAGTGAAGACTAAGCTTATACGCAAGGAATGTAATTATTAAAAAAATCGAATGATGGATAGTAAATGATAAAAATGATTTATCAATTGCGTTAGTCATTCGCTTACCAATAGATTCTCGGGTTTGATGTCACGATGCACTATTGAAAGCGAGTGTAGGTATGCGATAGCTGATGTTAGATGGCCAATTAGCAAACGAGCTTGTGGCTCAGAAAATTTGGAAGCAGCCGCGATACTATCAAATAAATCGCCACCTAGAAATACAAATTATTTTAATATAATATGCAAATATAAGCCTAATGTGGTATGGCGTTGATACATTGTTATTAATCAATTAGTTGGATGATACGACTGATGAAAACAATTATATATCGAATGTGAAATCAATTATTGTATCGAAGATTTATACAACTACGAGTTAAAGTAAACTTAAATAAAAATTGTATATGTAAACAATATAAATAGTAGACAAAAAGTAGGTTTTTGGATAAAACTAAAATATGAAATTTGCAAAATTCTTTTACTCTATACTCATATTTGGTTACTTTAATAGTGAAATTGATTTACAAATCCTTTTCTATTGGCAAAAGAACTGTGTTAGAGATAATGTCATAGAAATAAAATTCATATTTAGCATAATAAATGTTAGTTAAATACATACCACTAACTAGCTCCATAATAAGGAATAGCCACTCAGGACTGTCTTGTTCTTCGATCAATGATACTATGCGAGGGTGGCATAATTTCCGCATTACTCTTACCTGTAAGTACGTCATGTTTAAGTATACATTTATTATATTACATTTGGAAAAAGAATATCGCAATTGAGAATAACTTTTCAATGGACAAATAAATAATATAACCAATATGAACCTATGCAAGTTATTTGTTTGTGTTTTACATTATCAATTCTTAAATGATAGGATTTTCATGAATATAATCACTTTTAGTACATTATTCAATAACTTATCCAATTGTGTGTATATCCAATATATTTGGTGTTATGCCACCTTTATAAAGAACCGGCAAAAACAGTGAATACTTTCGTCGAATAGTATGTGACGATAAACTGCGTTATAGTAATAAGTATTTAAATAAAGTGACCGGAGTATGATGTATGTGATGCTTTTTGAGTAATTTATATTTTATTATATTGCTACCTTGATAAACAATGCAACAGAATAAAAGGTAAGATTTCTTATTAAATTAAAGTGCAAATAAACAGTTACCTCTGCTTCCACATAATGCTCCTTGCCTTTACATTTAGCCTTGTCTATAACTTTGAGGGCATATTCTTTGTTAGTTGTTTTATCTTTACAAATTCGCACAACAGCGAAATTGCCGTCTCCTATAAAAAAAAAAATATAATGAAGTAATCATATACCTTTACGATTATTAACACAGCCATTCTCTGTCAGTCAGTCAAAGTAGTTTACATGACCACAATTTGCTAGCTGTATAGAATTCAGTGTGAAAGAGAAATAACTTACTGCCATCTCTAGGATTAATTTGATTTGATAGCTGTGTTGACATCATTTAGGAATTAAAATTTCATTTCAATTCAAAACAATTTAACCCATTCTCTTTGCAATTCTTGTCAAATAATTGACGATGTTAATCATAATAATAAACTGGTGGATTATCCACACTATTGCTAGTAATGTCAGTCAATTGACCTCCACGCGTTTGCCCCTGCAAGCCATCATTATTAATTCCTGGCAAATTGGCAAGAAGCAAGACTAGCTGACCTGATCTCATTTTCATCTTATCATCCTCCACTGGCGCCAGCGTAAACCGTTAGCGCAGATGAGTGAATCATTCCATTATAATTAATTTATCAAAAAGGTCACTATTTACCATTCTAGGTACAATGTCGGTATTAAAATGTAACATTAACTAAATATAACTATTGTGCTATTGTTGAACACCGCATGACGTCAACAGTGTGTTCTAGAGAGGACAGAATGCTTCCTTCTCTTTCCCACGTATACTATAACGTTAAATACCTATTATTTTGCCAACACTGTATTTGAGCCGCAACGGTTGCGGTAGAAGCGGAGCTGCACCGTCTTCGGTTGCGTCTCCGGCCGCGCCGCCGCCCGCTTCACTGGCTGCTCGAGCTGCGCCGCCGCCCGCCTTCACGGGCATGCGAGGCTTTGGTCCCGTTCTATATGCATCATAATAAATAAATAAATAGCTTGGACAATTAACAGAATGCAAGCTAATCCCACGGTAAGCAGAGCTTTTTTTATGGGTACTAGACAACTGATATGAATATATAAAACAAACATCCACACCGATACAAACAATCATAATCATAAATACAAACATTTGCACCGTGCGAGGAATCGAGCCCTCGACATTTGGAAGAAAATCGCTGTGCTCAAAAACCGCCAGACATCCGAAGCCAACAAAATAAAATTATTGTATGTTTATTACATAAGTAAAATAAGCAGGGGTCAATAGTGTAGTGGTTAAGTATACCGGTTTACTTCCAATGGCCTTCTAATACTTGCACGATGCAAACATTTGTATTCATAAGTATTTGTATCACATAATTTAGATAGTTTGTATCACTTGATGGACATAAGCTAAAAGGTAGCTCTAAATTATGTAATTATAATATGTAAATATTTAGATAGTTAATTTAGATTTTAAAACGAAAAGATAATAACTTTAGCCAGTTTCCGAACTGTAATAGTTGCTTGCACTTACTTGATTTTTGGTGCCTGAAATATATCTATCTAAAAAAACAACTTAATCTTAATATTTACCTTGAATTTCTAGTGATTGGTGTCTTTCTACATTGTAAAACAGCTCTACTCTCTTCGAATTCTAATTCAAAATCTTCTTGATTAACCCTGGTGTGGAAAATAATATTGTAACAGTAAGTAATGCCACCTATTAACATTGATAAATATACACAATAATAGTAATTTACTAACTAATGACAATATTCCCCAGAACCATGAAATATATATAAACAATTTTAGATAAAAACCATAAGTAAATATAATAATTTTGTGTAGATTAATGCATTATGTATATACTTAATATCAGATGAGTTTGTAGTCAAATAAGATCAAATGTCATAATATTTATGTTTTATAAAAAGAAAAATTTAATAATTAATGTCAACATTACCTGGGTTGATATTAATGACTAAATTTCTTCTATTAAACATACCTACTTCTACTATATTACGGTAGCAGTAAACTATATTCTTTTCTTTTTGTAGTTCAGACTTCAACTCCTAAATTAATAGGTCTTGAAGTTGGTTTTCGTATTACCTTTCATTTCCGTATGCAAAAAACACATCTTCATCGTCAAAAAACTGATGTAACGCCGTGACAGCCGTGCCCGACTGCGTGAACACTTTGCGTACACAGCCGGTGTCCAATTTGATGCATTCTGTGATCGCTGCAAGTGCGTGCTCCAATGTCGGACTGTTGCGTTTGTTGAGCAACAGTCGGCACACCTGAACGGAAATTACAATTACCAATGTTCCAACACATAACGAGCGAAAGCTGAATGACCTTACTTATGTAATACTTTTATATGCGTATATAAGGATTTATCTAGTTTCCGATAAATTTTAATTTCGAAAAATATTACTTAGAAGTAAAAACTACAAACTATATAGTTTCTTTTATATTCTCCATATTCTGTTCGTAGTTATTTACTTTCAATAATAATAAAACCCTGGGACGATTTTCACAAAATGTCGCTTTGTTTCAAACTGCTCACAAAAAAATGTTATACGGGTACAATGTCGCGGGATCAACCCGACAATAAATATAACAGTATGTGTGTTATATATATAATTGATTGCCACCATCGTAGTTTAAACAAAAAAAAAATCACAAGGATCGTTATAGTTTAAACATTACCTTGCGAGGTTTCACTCCATTCCTAATAATAGTAACTATACGTGGTCGAACTACATTGTCTCCGGCTGGGCTAACGCGTGCTGTCCCGTTGCCGGTAGTACTACTACCATTTGCCTGCAAACAAGATTAAAAGTGGATTTCTCACTGAATGTATACAGAGAGACTCCTTGCAGTGCGTTCGGCAATTTGGACGGACCGCCTAGTATGCATTCCGTTAGAATGCACTGCAGTGTAACCATTGAGAGGCAACCTTAACCCTTAAAGTGCCACTTAAAGCGTGATCGAACATCAGGTGTGTCCCAAAACTGTTAGGAGCGGCGCGGTAGCGCACACAAAATTAGATGCCGTCTAGCACTCCGCAGGAAAATATGATTATAATTGGACAAGTTTTTTTAAGAGAATCAAAATTTTTTGCTGGAAAGGGTATATGACATCAAAATCAAGGATTTTTCTTGCCAATTTTAGACATACATTAGTAAAAACCCATTGCACTCAAATGGTTAAACGTCACACAATGACGCGATATTATCTCGACATCGTGGCCTAGAATTGCATCTGTATTATTGTTTATACCACAGAACACGGAAGTAGGTTTATATGCTTACGATGAGATTTAATCTATCTAATGTGGTATTATTATTCATGCGCTAAAATTATTACGTTTCAAAAATGTATTTAATTATTTATCACTTAATTGTTGGGCACATTGACTTTTCTATTTATATATGATGTATGGTGCAGTTTATTGTTTCTTATCTTATAAATTGTATAGTAACAATTTATAACATGAAAAAATAAACTGCGCTGACCTTTACAACTGTTATCTGAGATGGGATAGTCAGGGATTATCAGCTGTCAGTATTGAAGTCCACTGGATATTATTCAATATAGGTATAGAAGGGGTAAACCTGCAGTCACTTACTTTATTTTGTTTTTTATCACTGTTCCATCACCGCGGAGAATGAATAAGAAATATAAATTGGAATAGTTTTTGTAGAGACATGTTGAAGTTGAGAGTCACACTTACAAACTACATGAATACTGATATTTAATGATATTTCATTTATTTAGAGCAATGTTTGGAAAATTCACTGAACTACAGATCTAAAAAACCTACTCGGCCTTATTACAAAAAGATAAACCTGGTTTAGCACTAGTAATAAACCATTCACCAATGTATTCCTTATTACAAAATGAAGTTTATCTCTAAATCGTGATTCGTCTATTGTCTAAAGTTAGACCTGCGATGCCCCTAGTTTAACAGTGGTCTAAATGCAAAAATACAAACTCCATTTTAAAAATTTTATTGTAAGTTGTAGTTTTTGGAAAAATATTTTAACTAAATTAAAAATATATTAACTAAAAAATATTTAAAGCAAATTTTACGACAATAAAAATATATAAAAGACGTTATTTGTTATTTTTTCACTCATTTGACTTTGAAATAGTCACCATTCGAACGATCCAATAAAAATATCTCGCCGTTCCTTTTCTCCGTATAGGACTCCTACTTGTAATTTAAAACTGATTTTCAGCCTAATAGTACAGTAATAAATATTATATATTAATGAAATAGTTATAATGAAGACATAGATAAATAGAAATAAATTTATTTTTAGTTTATACATTTTTCTTTGAACTAATATTATTTTTGATCTTTTCAGTTTTCTGGTAAAATGGAACGTAATTGTACGGTGACAGACATGAATGACTGATTTCTGTATGGAATACATAATGAACGATTTAACTGTAGTACTAAGTAGTCCTCTGTTAGATCTGGATTCGTAATAATGTTAGGTTTATTCCAAGTATTAACTTTAGGAATGGTTTAAACCACGACCATTTAGACCACGTTTCGTCCTAGTTTTAACAGATTTTTTGTAATAAGACCGACTGGGTTTAATGTTCTGCAATAGGAACCTGTTTGCAAAAATAAAAACAAATATAAGAAGAATTATAAATACCTGCAAATATCGGGATAGCCGGTTGTTTGCTCTAGCTGGAGATGGGCTTGAACTGTCATTTAATGATTCTGGGCCACTCAATCTGAAGGACTGAGGTGTCACTGCACTGGCTTCATAGTCCAGGCGTTTGAAGGGCTCACCAAAACCACTACACACATATGACTGACCATCTTCTAAATCATCCAATTTACCTATCTGCAAAAATTTTATGTTCCTATAATAAATTAGTTTTTAGCGAAAAACATTATTTATTAGAAATTGATATATAAGAGGCCCATAGAGATTCATTTCATCTCATTATCTGCCATGAATTTTGTGGCCCTGAATTTAAAATGTTGCATTTGGAATTTTATTATGGCTCATACCTCAAATTGCATACAGACATGATTTATATGTAATATTGCTAATTAATGGCTAATAATTTATGTAACATCTAATTATAAGCTTTTACTGAATATGATGTAACTTACTTTTCTACCCTCAAGAGAGTATATTGTCCTGACACCACTGGGAAGTGTGACATTGTCCACTAGCACCCTAGTCAAGTCGGCAGTTAAACTATCAAAAGATCTATGGACAACAATAAAAAAAACTATTAAGTGGTCAAAAAGTTTAAGGTATCTTGTATGGAGTTTGAATAGTAAATGAGCTGGTTGTAAGCGCTAATTGTTGAACATATATCATTATGAATCACAACAATGATTAACTGTTTGATATATTGAAAATAACATGACTAGATATACTATACATTATTACAAATGATCTTAAAATTAAATACTTACTCCCAAATAAATGGTTAAATGTCTATATTTGATATTATTGAATGTTTTATTTGCAAGTAGTTTTTCATGTATTTTTAATACCAGAGGAATCAAAGGGACTGGACATGTATTCAATATTACATTTTATTTTATTACATTTATGTTATATGATATAAAATATGAGTGAGGATATTAAATGTTCTTTAATATCAAAAGAAAGTAACTGTTTCAAATTCAGCTTCTAGATAAAGTTAAAGTACAATTGTTTTCAAAACAGCTGTAATACTTTTGTTGTACTATTCTACAACAAAATAACAAAATTAGTAAGCACTTACAAAATAAATTTACAGGTAAGTATTAAAGAATCTCAATTTATATTATACTATTTCATTGGCTAATCATCAAGGACAAAGAGAAAGTTAGGTCTTAAATAAAATGGACAAATATATGGCTATAGATAGACTGTATAAACGCAATATAGGAAAACCCTAGTAATTTCTTATTTTTATTGGAGTGTGTAAACATTCTAATAAGAGTCTGAATAACTATTTTAAAGATAATCTATGACCTGCCTCTCTCTGGTCTGCACAAATCAAGTGGTATTGTCAATAGATAGGCTAGAACGATTAATTATTTTATTGTCATGCTCCATCACAGATGTGTAGGTAGATAGTTAAGTGAAAGTACTCCAATGAAAATATAATAGTAAACATTATTTCAATAGATTAGTAAAATTATTTTCCCCACCTGTATCTTTCTGGCAAGACTGGGATTATAACTCCTGAATAGAATTTATCACCATTTCGAAAAAACCTGACTCGTTTCGCTTTCCGCGCTGGTTGTGTTCGAAGCATTACGTTACGTCGGTTTGTCCTACTTTTCATAATTTCCATATCACTAAAATCTTTTTCAAGCTCACAAACGGAGCTCGATCGACTGCCACTACGACTTAGATTATTCTCCATCCTGAAAATAAAGAAAGTTAGAAAAAAGTTACGATGTCATCTAACGGATACCTTCTGATATCACGATTCCACCCTCACCTTATTTCGTTCCGGTTTAATAAATTAAAGAATTATGTCCAAAGTCAAGTCATTACTTTTAATAATTGTATCTCATTTTGAACAAGTTCGTTAAATAATTTGATAAATAGTTTCAAAATAAGACTTCTGAAAAATTATGAATATGAATCACAAAATACACAAAATCAGCGCAAACGAGACCCAGAATGAATGAATACTATACGAATGATTAATAAATGAATGAACGAAACATTTCATTTCTTGAACGATTGAATGAAACGCGAAGGGAGTTAACTTACTAACTTTTTTTTATTAATAAGTTTTACGGTTCTGAATACAACTCCTTTTGAGCCCAACTTAACAAACCTTACTAACTTTTTTTTAGTAATATGTTTTACGGCTCTGGATACAAGTCCTTTTTAACCCAACTTTTTTTTAATTTATTATTTTACGGCTCTGGATACAAGTCCTTTTTAGCCCAACATAAAATACAAAACCTTAAAAAAAATTATAATTTCTTCCCAGTGTTGGAATTAAATTTATATAAAGTCTTGAATAGTGCAGGCCTTGATAAGATCTCTTCTTAACCCAACTTTACTCTTTGGAGTTGCCATTCCAACCACGAAACTACAAAATTTTCGATTATTGGCTGCAGTTATATGTCATAGTTTGACTTTGACGATTTCGACCTAATACAAATAATAAATCGAACTGTTGGCAGTCCCAGTTAGAATTATTATTTGTATTAGGTTCATGTATTAAACAAGGTGCTCAAAAGTTGCAATTCAGTAAGAAAAATATTTAGTATTAATTTATATCAACCACTCACGGTTTGCGTTTTAGTAGTGGTAACGATTAATTAATCATTAACTTTTTGTTCCTTTTAAATACTTGGTACATTTGAAACGCACCTATATTAATTAAGGAAATTCCAATACGTTCAACGAACCAAACCTTGGTTTTCATTTTACATAAAAAAATCCCAACAATGTACTACTATACAAATTATCTCATCTCCGATTCTCAGTCGTCGTCTAACAGTTCCCTGTGGTCTAATTATGTAACTTCGTTCGCAACGATTTTCGTATGTAACGTAGTGAAAATGACGTCATCTGTCAATAATGCGATCATATAGACGCCATTTGACGCTGTCAACTAGCATTGCAACGTAAACGCAACTTTACATATCGATAAAAATTATTTCTATCGAATGTCGATTTAGTAACCTCGTTGCAACGTCACGTAATCGCTATTTTGCCGAAATGACAGCGTGGAATTGAAACGGTTTTTACATTATGAGAAACAATTTAGAAGGTGTTTCTTTTGGTTACAATCTTTAAAATATCAGCATTAGCAGCATTATTTATCTTGTTTTGGTAATTTTCAGTATTACATATATTTTTATTATATTAAATATTACGTAGAAAGTCGTGAAAAGGTTTTAAATTTATTAAAATGGGAAAATTGTCACGACTCACAACACGACATCAGTGTTGCCAATTCGATATTTTATTTTCGTCCCAAATCACATAGAATATTGTATTAACTAGAGTAAATGTTTAATATAAAATTAGGGTTGATTATGATATTAATATAATTAAAAAACTATTTCAATGAATACGGTGCTCTGTGAACGGAATACAACGTTTATGATGCTCTGTGATTTGTTTAAAGTAAATAAATTTATTTGTTTAAAGTTTTTACAATTATGTACAAATTTAAAAAGATGTGCCCATATCATTTTAAATTTATATGGATACCTACGTACTGACCTAGGTATCTATAGCAGAAAAGAAAATTTAATTTATAGGTTAGATTAATATTATTAATGATTATAAATAGTTTGTATAAAATATGCTTTTATATTCAAAATTATTAACCTTATTTTTTCATTAGAATAGAATAGACTTTCTTTATTTTATTTTATTAAATGTCTATTAATAAAATTAAAATAAAAGAACAAGTGAACGCTGCAGTATATTTTGTAATTTTTGAACGCAATAAAAATTGTTTCAAATCAACCAACTAGTGTAACAACCCAATAAATTAAAATGTATCCCTCTAAAGGTATAAGCTATCTAATGTACTGACTGTGGTAGTATAGAAACTCTTTATAATACTATGATTTGTTTTTTTATTGTCTTGTCATATTGTAACATTTCAACATGTATATCTTACTAGCATTTTAGTTGAATTAAACCAATATTTCCTTATGGTCTATATCGTTTTGTATCAATTAATTCAACTAATAAAATACAATTAACAATGTCAAGAAAAAGTCGCAGTAAAAAGATTGAAGCAGATATAATGTCGATGCCAGGGCCGGCTTCTACAAGTTTAGCACGATATCTACGTCCGGAAAGATTTGAGTTAGACCCGAGTTCTACTGATGCCGATATTGAATGGACGCATTGGCTATATACATTTAACAATTTCCTATCAGAAAATAATGGTGAGTTTACTGATGAACATAAACTAAAAATTTTAATTAATCACTTATCTCCCAGTGTGTATGTAAACATAAAAGAATGTATTGATTATGAATCGGCTATTTTAATTTTGAATGGAATCTATATTAAACAGAAAAATGAAATACATGCACGTCATATTCTTGGCACTCGAAAGCAACGTAGTGATGAATCTATAGATCAATACTTACGTCAACTTAAATTACTTGCTCAAAAATGCTCTTTCAAGGATGTCAAAGCAGAACAATATCGATCAGAATATATCAGGGACGCATTTATTGCTGGTATTTCTTCACACAAAATACGCCAACGTTTGCTAGAAAATCTGGAACTGTCACTTGATCAAGCATTTAACCAAGCACTTTCACTAGAAATGGCAGAAACAAATTCTCGATCTTTCAATGATAACATACCGCTTAACGCAGTTGATTCCATATCTACCTTATCTGATTCACAAAATAAAAAAACCAAAACTTTGTCTTCTTACGATAATGAAGCGTCTACATCCATATCAGGAGATAATATAGCAGAAACCGTTATAGCTGCCACAACAAATAAAAGAAGATGTTTCTTTTGTGGTAGTAATGTAATTCATCAGCGGATAAGATGTCCAGCTTTAAATAGCACTTGTCAAATTTGTTTTAAAAAGGGACATTTTGCTAATGTTTGTCGAAGCAAACAAACTATGAATGCTGTCATAGTAAATGAGACTAATAATAGTAACTCTGCAGAGGTTGCAGCTATATCTGCAGCTTCTTTACCTAGTTTACATAAAGCAACTGTACCTATCACCATTAATAAGTATTATGCTGAAGCCCTTATCGATACTGGAAGCTCATTAAACTTTGTAAATGAAGAATTAGCGCACTTATTGAAACTTAAACAGAAACATTGTCAACAAATTATAACTTTAGCTTCACTTAATCATACATCACCAGTCAACTGTTACTGCAATGCAACTTTACAATTGAATAATCATTCGTACGACAATGTCAAATTATTAGTTGTACGTAATTTATGCGCTGATATTATACTAGGTCATGACTTACTTAAAGCTCATCACTCCTTAGAACTGAAGTTTGGTGGTCCCCGAGATCCTTTGAAGATATGTAATGTCATGGCTGCTAACTTACCTCATGCTACATTATTTTCAAATTTATCTCCTAATGTCAAACCCGTAGCAATAAAATCAAGACGTTACAGCGAGGGTGATCAACAATTTATTAAAGAAGAAGTTGAAAAACTATTAAAAGATGGAATCATTGAGCCAAGTATATCACCTTGGCGGGCACAAGTTCTAGTAACTGGCGGTGGTATCCATCGTAAACGTCTCGTTATTGATTATTCTCAAACTATAAATAAATTTACAGAACTTGATGCATATCCTTTACCTAATATTGAAGTACTTATATCAAAAATTGCGCGGAATAAATATTTTAGCCAAATTGATCTCAAAAGTGCCTACCATCAAGTACCAATTCAACAGAGAGAACGACCTTATACAGCATTTGAAGCATGCGGTAATCTATTTCAATTTACACGTATACCGTTTGGAGTAACAAATGGAGTATCAGCATTTCAAAGAACGATGCAATTTATCATATCTAACGAAAATCTTACTGACACTTATGCATATTTAGATGACGTTACTGTTTGTGGTAAGGATAAGCTTACTCATGATGCTAATCTAGCAAAATTTATGGCAACTGTAGCAAAGTATAAAATTACTCTAAACAAAGACAAATGTAATTTTGGTTCTGAGACTATTAATATATTAGGTTATACTATAGAGAACAATGTTGTAAGACCTGATAAAGAGCGTCTTAAACCTTTACTCTCCATGCCTGCACCTACAGATATAAATTCTCTAAAGAGAGTATTAGGTATGTTTGCACATTATTCTAAATGGATAAATAACTATTCAGAGAAAATAAGCAATTTAGCGACTAATAATTCATTTCCATTATCACGTGATGCAGAAATATCCTTTGAGAGTCTTAAGAAAGATATTGCAAACGCTGCTTTAATTGCTATTGACGACACACAAATGTTTACTGTAGAGACTGATGCTTCTGAACATGCCTTAGCAGCAACACTTTCACAAAATAGTCGCCCGGTAGCATTTTTCTCTCGCTCATTGACAGAGTCCGAAAGAAACCATTCTTCAATAGAGAAAGAAGCGTCGGCAATTGTTGAAAGCCTACGTAGATGGCGTCACTATTTAATTGGAAAACATTTTCTTTTAATAACGGATCAACAATCGGTTTCCTTCATGTTCAATCAAAAACATTCAAGTAAAATTAAGAACGAGAAAATAGAGAGATGGAGGCTTGAATTATCTTGTTTCAAGTTTGATATTATATATCGACCGGGTAAACAAAATATTGTATCTGATACATTGTCAAGAGTTTGTGCTAATATGTTTTCACGCAAAAATTTATATGAGCTTCATAATACATTAAGCCATCCAGGAATCACAAGAATGGCTCATTGGGTGCGGTCTAAGAATTTACCGTATTCGATTACTGAAATTAAGAATATGACTGCAAGTTGTCCTATTTGTTCAGAGATAAAGCCAAGATTTGCAAACAGTAAAGGACGACTTATTAAAGCGACGTCCCCATTTGAAAGACTTAGTTTAGACTTCAAAGGGCCGTTGCCTTCAAATTCCGAAAATAAATACATTTTAACTATTGTTGATGAATTTTCTCGATTTCCCTTTGCCTACCCCTGCAAAGATGTATCATCCGCTACTATAATAGCAAGTTTAAAGCATCTTTTCTTTACTTTTGGAACTCCTCTCTATGTACATTCAGACCGTGGAACTGGATTTATGTCACAAGAATTTAAAGATTTCCTAATAAGGAATGATATTGCATGCAGCAGGACTACGCCTTATAATCCAGAAGGAAATGGCCAGGTCGAAAGACTGAATGGGACTCTGTGGAGAACTATACAATTATCCTTACGATCCAAAAACCTAGATATTCGGTATTGGGAAGATGTCTTGCCTTTAGCGCTGCACTCAATTCGATCGTTATTATGCACAGCTACTAATGCTACACCACATGAGAAGATGTTCTGTTTCCCGAGACGATCTGGTAATGGAGTTTCTTTACCTTCTTGGTTAATGATTCCGGGCCCAGTACTATTAAAAAAAAATGTAAGAAAAAGTAAATATGATCCTTTAGTGGAAGAAGTGGAACTGCTGGAATCAAACCCAAACTATTCTATAATACGCTTTGCTGATGGGAGAGAGGATACAGTATCAAACCGACATCTAGCGCCAATTAATAGGCAAATTGAAGAAGTAGTCACTGAAGATGAAACGTATAACTCCATTCATAACCCTTCTGATACAGATGCCGAGATCTACCAGACAGCATCTGAGAATGAAAATTTAAATGCTGATAATTCTGGTTCAGAATTAGTTCATTCGCCCCAACGGCCTGTTCGTGAAAGAAGGCCCCCTGTTTACTTAAATGATTATGAATCATAAGGATGGGTGAATGTGGTAGTATAGAAACTCTTTATAATACTATGATTTGTTTTTTTATTGTCTTGTCATATTGTAACATTTCAACATGTATATCTTACTAGCATTTTAGTTGAATTAAACCAATATTTCCTTATGGTCTATATCGTTTTGTATCACTGACTTTTTAAATTGGTCGGATTAACAAAATTCCGCTGCAACTTCATAGTAGTGTTTTATCGATAGAAATGATTTATGTTGCGGTCATTCGACCTTACTTGATCGCATTTTTTAAATTGAAATGATTTCATATTGCATCACAACTTCAACAGAAACAATTTCATATCGTGTTACATAATTAGCCCACTGTTATCATTACGCTGAGTTAAGTTTTAAAGCACTAGCGATGCCTTCAGACTAAAGTATCTGCCAAGCAAAATTTTTGTTTCAGACGCTCCAACAAGTTCTTTCGTGGTTTGTAATAATATTTTCATTTTGTTCCCACTTCTATAATATATTTTATATATAGATGTAAACGCAGTGGAATAGGATAGCTCGAAAATAAAACTTTTTGTTTAAGTAATCGATTTTATTTAAGTATATAGTTTACTGAGGGATCATTACATCCAAGTTTTAAATATGTTCAAGTTATTAAAGTCAATTGTACTATTATATACTTCTATATACCTATAAATATCTATATTTTTAATGATATCGGTTTAATTGTGTAGCGGGATTAAGATTTAAGTAATAATCGAAGTGATAAATCGCTGCGTATTGTAACATTTTTGAGCCTAGCAACATCACAAACAGGTGACGCATTTATCAATTTCGTTTATGTCAAAATTACAGACAAAGACTTTGTTATTTTATATTTAAAGGCAATTATTAAAAATTTTTGTGCAAAATGTCGTCAAAGAAAAAGGTTCTCTTGAAAGTTATCATACTCGGTGATAGTGGAGTGGGTAAGACATCACTTATGAATCAATTTGTTAACAAGAAATTTTCCAACCAGTACAAGGCAACAATAGGCGCAGATTTTCTCACGAAGGAAGTAATCGTCGATGATAGAATCGTTACGATGCAAATTTGGGACACCGCTGGTCAGGAGCGTTTCCAGTCTTTGGGAGTGGCGTTTTATCGTGGGGCGGATTGTTGCGTCTTGGTGTTTGACGTAACTGCCCCCAACACTTTCAAGTCCTTGGAAAGTTGGAAAGACGAATTCTTGATACAAGCATCACCAAGAGATCCGGAGAACTTTCCTTTCGTCATTTTAGGCAATAAAGTCGACTTAGAAAATCGCGCCGTGTCTGCCAAACGGGCCCAACAGTGGTGCCAGAGTAAAAATGATATCCCCTATTTCGAAACAAGTGCCAAAGAAGCTGTGAATGTAGAACTAGCATTCCAAACTATAGCTCGTAATGTCCTTGCCCAGGAAACGGATGCTGAGCTTTATAATGAATTCCCAGATCAACTCAAGTTAACGGCAAATGACAATGGGCGCAACAGGGATGGAGATAATTGTGCTTGCTAGGCTTTAGTAGAAAGGCTCCAGCACTGGCGGTACATTAGTTTCTCATTTATTAATTTTAAATTTATAGTTACAATTAAAGTAATCTATAAAAGTAATTGTGTAAGTAATACTTTCATGTATATTGATATATATCATGTAAAAAATGTATAGATATTATAAAAAAATACATATAGGTTCATTGTTTTTGTGCACATTATAACAAATAAAGTAAATTTCTGCACTTAACAAAATATAAATGTGTCATAAAATGTAAGGCAAACATATTAACATTTATTTATTTATCACAGATTATGACAATACAAATTGTTTATATCCAGTGAATTGAAAAGCATGGCATATATATATTTGTGTTACTTTTATGTAAATTAAATAATTTGTACAAATCATCCATACTTTTTAAAATTACTGTTTCTTTGTGAAATGACCTTCAGCTTGGTTCATGATTTGTTTTAATTATAATTATTGTGATGGTTATTTTGTTACATGTTGTATAGCATTATAATAGATGATTGTTAGAATACACAGGATAGCAACATAATTATTATTATTGTCTGAACAATGTCAGTATTGTTGAAATATCCATACTTATTACTTACATATAAACAATTTGTTAATCTGTAATGTAAAAACATATGTACTCAAAACACCAATATACAATATAAATTTATTTTTTTATTAAGCTGGCATCATAATTAGCTTCAAATATCCAAATGTATGTAAAGTTGATGATGCGTGACATTAGTTCTTGAGCTTGGAGCATTTGTTCATAGTGTGAATAAACCTTTAAAAATATTGTAGTCTCATGTGTTCAAAGTCCAATATTTGTGAGTACTGTGGACATACATGTTGCAAAAGATATTTGATATCAATACTTTTGTTTGTGACATGTGTTCAACTGCAAGTTGGAAGATCTGCATGTATGTTCAAACACAGAAGCTATTTCTGGTTAGGCACAGACACACATTAGACAATAGTTGGGTAGTTAGTTTTCCATCAATCAATTCTATTTTTATATGTTTACTTTGATCAAGTATGAACATTTAATGTTACAAATACTATACCTCTGTAGAAGTCTCTTTGATCTGGCTGTTGTAAAACTGAAAGTGTAACCTACTAAAGGGTGCCTTTCTTGTATGGTTATTCAAATTGAAGATATTGTAGATTATGATATTTGGGTTACCAATGCTTTATGTTGTGGTACAGTCTGCTCTCAAGTTTTCAGAAAAAACACCGTCACCATTTAATTCTTACATATCTTTATGGAAATTACAATTGTGTTAAATAAAATATATATTTATCAAATATTTTTGTTATCATCAGAGTATGTCACTTTAATTAGCCTTCAATTTGTGATTGACAGTTTGATTTTTGTAGTGTATTTAATAAATGATAATATTTATTATGTTTCTTTGGTATAACACAATGACAGCTAATGCTCTTTTCTCTGTTAATTTTGTAGTGAAAATTATGGGGACAGGGCATTTTTATAATGTAATGCATCTGAATATAATTACCTATCATTAAAGTTTTTGTATATATTTGAATTCTAAAGTGTTAGTTATAAGTAGTTAATAATAACACAATGTTATATTGATAACTGGCATTTTATTATAACACCAATAGTGTTATAAGAACAAAAACATGTATCTGATAATTGTGTTGTAAAATGTTCCCAACCAACAGTGAGGTTAAACAAATTTTAATGACCTACAACAGCTTTAGTTATGCCTAATGCAAAATAGCTTTGTATGTCTTTTAGATACTAAATAAATTATACAATTTCTTAACTTGGTAACATTCAGTTTTGTATCAAATTAGATTATATTTAAATATTTTTTCTACAAATATCTCTATTCTTTATTTATTATACTCTGTGTGTCATATCATGGTCCTGATTACCAAGTATTAAAGCAAGTCTAGGCAGTTTACTTAATATTTATTATGTAAAGAAAAATTATTATGGGATAATACGAATTATGATGGACTTTTTCTTCTGAGATACCCCCTAACTATAGGCTTTTTAAAATAAAATAAAAGCTCAGCATATCAACTGTTGTACTTCAATCTTCATTAAAACTCATCAAAAATAGCACCATACTATAACACGCAAAGTATAATGTACATATTTATTGACCTTGCCTTTTAGTTTAATTTAACAACATTATGTTTCTTTCATAAACAATATATTGCATGCTTTTTATTATAATATTTTATTGTATTACCTATTAAAAGCTTGAGTTTAGGACCTGGTAATAATAATAGGTAATAAAATATGATGTATGCTGTAATAATGGTTGCTTTTAATTTTATATTAATAATAAATAAAAATCTTCAAAAATGTTGTTTTGAATTATTTTATTAATTAGCTCGAAGGACCATAGCTCTATATATGTAATGTTATCGATTGGACCGCTGTTATGAAATAGCGTCTGGTCTAAAGTTTATATAACATTCCAGCAATTATTTCATAAAGTCTATTGAAGTTTGAAGCGAGCGCCTCAATTTAGAGACAATTCGCTTAGTTATTAGCTTTTACAAATGACCCACGTGACGCAATTTTTCACTGGAGTCATTCATTGGTATTGTTTGTATATGTACTAGCTACATAAGTACATATGGATATTGCAGCTCGGTTTGCGCATGCGGGGGGGAAATGGGAAGAGGGGGGAGGTATTGGTCAGCGTTTCAGCTACTGGTTGGTCGCAATCGCACAATTCAGTCTCGCTTGTGACATGAAAGGGCGCGATCCTTCACACGCATCACGGTGCTTCGAGCAATGCATCACCATGAACAGCCGCCAGGGAATGCATGTAATGGTGAGTCCCTATTGCATTTTATAAAATGGATCTTCGAGACAAACCGCAGTAAATCATATTTTTTTTCTAGAGCGCATTTCTAGTAACAATTATTTTTTTGTTTTATTTACAATAATTTAAATACAGTTTTTTTGTTATATATGATGGAGAATTTACAGACACTTTTCGGTTCCACGATTCTCCGACGATAAATGATAGGTAATATGTGTGTTAAACTTATGATCGTTTTATTTAGGTATGAAAGGTATTAGTAAGAAAAAAGCATCTGGTGCTATATTATATTATATTAAAATGTATTAAATAAATCATATTAGGAGTTAGACATAACAATAACGGTTTCGTCAGTCACGTATAGCATGTGTTACTTGAGGGCGTGCGTGATGTTTTACTAGTTTACTACCCTCCTCAAACTAGGTACCGCAGCGATCTAAATTAAGTATGTAATGTCTCGATTAAAAATTCTGGCAATTAGGACTCTTATTATAACTAATTAGTCGGAGCTCTGAAATCGTTAGGTTATTAGCCAGTGACCACAGTTTATATCACCCTTAACAAGTCGATATATGTAATTGGTCTTGGTTGTACAAATGCACATCTCACAACGGATTTAGATTTTATCCTTGCACGATGCAAAAATTTGGTTTATTTGCCTGGTCCACTTCTCTACATATAAATATTGTATACCTAATGGTATTTTAATTCAAATTCCAAAGTGGTAGATATTATTATTAATCATCAAAATATTATAGATCCGAAAATTTGTGAGTATGGATGGATGTTCATTACTCTTACACACAAAAACTGGTGAATGAATTTCGATGAAACTTACTATAGTTTCATCGAAATTATGTATTATAATATAATATCAAAGCCTAAACTGATGTATACCAATTTCGGAATAATTTGAAAAAATATTATATGAATTGGGCGATATATAATGATAACTGTAACGCAGACGAAATTGCGCCGATCAGCTAGTTATTTATGGTCGATCAACTGAATCATGAGACAGTTTGACCTCTTAATTGGGTATTTGAACGCGTAGAACGCAGAGAACTATACGTAATTGATTGACAAATGGCTGATTAATCAACCAACATTCAAAAGAATCACAGCCGTTAAAGATATCGCCCATGAATTGATCTAGATTCTGCATTATGCACATAGACAGAGAGAGCGAGAGGGTGTAACCGTGAATAAAATTGTCCTGGAGGTTAATCTCCAAAATTAATCAATATCTAAATCAGTATCTAAGTATTTCAAAAAATCTTTCACCATTTCATTGATCAGACGGCCACATCTTTTTTAAAGGTAACTTATGACTTTGTACCACAAATTCCCAAGTTAACTTAATTTATATTAGTTATTATTTTTTGACGAAGTGTAAATTTATACAAAAGGAAAAGTTAATAGATCCCAAACCTTACCACATTTACCAAGTAAGCAGTACGGTCACTTTATAGGTATACTTTGCATAAGGTTGTCTACGTGCGTACCTCTGCCTTACGTCTTTTAGCCGCCAAGCAGCTTGCTATTTACCATCGGATGGGTAGCTAGATATTATACCATTTGTTTCATAAAAAAAATGCTTGCGTACATTTCATGGATTCGCCGGAAAATTTTCGTTTAAATCTTTGCTCAGAATTGCGCCTAAAAGATTTGCATGTTTGTTTGTTCGCATTGTGACGTCGTTGTGAGACGAAACTTGACTGTAAAAACATTGAACCGACGTTAGTTATCGAAGGCCATAGAGCAAAAACGAAGTCCACGTGGTTTAAGTTTGCTGGTAAAAAAATAATGACTCATATTTTTTGTATATGTGGATTGTTGATGGCTAGACATATACTAAGTGATAATAGACTAAGTATTATAACATTTAATTATGTTGTTATTACGTAATATTTAAAATCCAAGTCGACTTGCCCAAAAAAAAAATTATGCACAATAATAGAATGATGCAACGTGTAACATACTGTGTAATTTCATCATCCACATTTTACATGTAAAGTATTTAATTATGCCGAGTTCTCCGGTAAGGAAAACGCCGACAATAATCCAAAAATTAATGAGAGACGGCGGTGGAGTCTCCCTCTATTAGTTACATAATTCAATGTTGCCATGAATTAAATAAATTATAATAATAATAGCCTTGGACAATTTAATCAGCGCCATCTAGTTCGAAGCTAAGCGAGCTTTCATTATAGGTATCTACTAGATATATACATACATAATATATATTGACAACACCAAGAACAATGCAAACAATTATACTCATGGATACATGGGT